AGAGGAAGTTCTCACTGTGAAATTCTGTAACGATCGATTCGATGTTTAGAATCGAAATTTTTGAATTATTTGAAATTTATACAGAGACAGTTTACGTTTGAATCGTTGAGTTTAATTACAGAATTACGCGTTTACGTAACTGTCGAGTGATTTGTTAACCCTTTCAGCATTTGATCGTGTGCTTGACATGAATGAATAGTAGAATTTCAGTGAGATTTAACCCTGTGCACTCGAAAGTTTTTCGATGGAAATATTCTTCGATGAGATACAGACGAGCTTTGAAACTAATTAATGAGAAAATATATATAAATTAAGAAGCAGAGTTATTTTGTTTCAATATTTAACCCTTTGCACTCGAAAATTTTTCACTAGAAATATTCAATATTCTTTGATGAGACACCGGCGAGCTTTGAAAATAATTAATGAGAAAATATATATAAATTAAGAAGGAAAGTTATTTTATTTCAATATTCCGTATATTCGTACGTCATACAAAGCTTAACCCTTTGCACTCGAAAGTTTTTCAATGGAGATATTCAACATTTTCTGACAAGATACAGGCGATATTATTTGAAATTAATTTAACGATAATTCATAGATAAATTAAGCAACAAAGTTTTTAAATATTTCACGTAGCAATGCAAAGTTTAATTTGAAATATTAAATATTCAACTTAGTTTCATTGTATCGAATCTAGTGATAACTGAGAGTCACCCTCGAGTGCAAAGGGTTAAATCACTAAATTCGCCCAGTGGCAAATAGAAAATCCGTACACAGATAAGAATTTATATTAGACTTGAATATTAACACAGTAAAATTATAAAATTTAAAATTCAATATTAAATTTTGTGCAAGGTGTCAACACGTGAAACACAAGAATAAAATAGTTCTGTCTCTTAATCTATGCAAGATTTCTCTTTACGCTAATTGCAATAATGTCGTCGATATTTCATCAGGAAATAACGAGTATCTATGATATATGAAATATTATCGAGTGCAAAGGGTTAATCAAATTCGAGACGTACAGCAGGTGATTATGCTTTATTTATATCCCCTTACCCCCGACGCTGCGTTCTGACTATTGTACGACTGTTCTGAATATTGTATAAATCGATAGTACAACTGTATATGTTCCGTGCTAATGTTCAAGTTACAGATAAACGGTTTCGTGTATCGGTGTCGTAACTATACCAGATTTATTCGGTTCTGATCAATTAATGGCTGACGTAAATTAGGATTTTACATGCGTCCGTTTTAACCCTTTGCACTCGACAATATTTTTCATTATGTTCAATTATTTTCCGACGAAATATTAACAATATTATTTGCAACTTACATAAAGAAACATCTTGCATCAATTATGGGCAGAATTGTTTTATTTCTGTTTCATGTGTGGATACTTTATTCGATATTGTATATTGAATTGTTCATTTTATCATTTTGTTCTATTAAATGGCGACTGAGAGTCGCCTTTTCAGTGTAAAGGGTTAATACGTTCACGTGTACCACCGGTGGCTCACAGTAAGATATCACATTAGACAGTGTGTACCATTGATGGCTCATTAGACGGTGTGTAGCATGAAATCAGTGGCTCGTCGAATGGTTTGTTAATTAGAAAACATTGCCATATAGTTGAGAATTAATTTACTTATCGATCATTTCAATATTTTTATCAATTTTGAGAATTCAGTCGCGAAATGGGAAAGAGTGGAAATTACAGCGCCGGTGTGAACGCGTTAAACGAAACAAAGACGTATCGGTGGATACACAGTTACGATACGGTACGAGGAATTTTCTATGAATCAGAGAATGTGGCCTTTACCAGTTACATCGTATAAAATATATTATCAAGACCGCGGAACACAGGCATGACTTTATCGCATATTTTAATTGAAGTGTATTTGTTAAACGGTTTATCAAAGGTCCATTGAATTTATTTTATTATTCGCTATAAATATGCTGGCCTTCTGCATTGGATTCGAATCTGTAAAAACGTGAACTTGCATAAGCATCTGCAATTTAACCATGAAGCCAACGTTGTCGTTGTTTATTTGAAAACACATTTTTCTCTTACTTGGAATTCTACGATATCGTGAATATTAACCCTTTGCACTCGAGAGGTGACTCTCAGCCTTGATTTGATACAGCAAAACTGTAAAGTTGAATATTTAGTATTTCGAATGAAACTTTGTATTGCTATAGGAAATATTTACATGAAACAGATTTGTCCCTTATTTTATCTACGAATTACCGTTAAATTAGTTTCAAACAATGTCCTCTGTATCTCGTCGAAAAATGTTAAATATCTCCGGTGAAAGACTTGCGAGTGCAAAGGGTTAAATTAGAATAATAGAACAATAGATTAGTTTTTCAAAAATTAAAGACGACTGTCTATATTATCACCCGATTTCAAACATTATGGATCACTTTATTAGGAATGCCTCTTATATAGAGTGATTCAATAAGAAGCAATTGTTGCAGAAATTTTCTCGTCTCACATTCTGTGTAAAAGATTTCATTTAATTAAAAGATCGTACGGGATAAATGGTTTCCATGAATTTCTCTTTTAGTTGCATGTTTTGTGAGTTGAATTGGTGACTCATTAAGGTCGCCGTTGTAAAAACAAACGTAATTTATTAGGTCACGGATAAAAAAAGAGATTAATTGAGATTGCCTGCCGTTGTCCGCCAGTTTGTAAATAACATACACAAATAAATACTCCGCAGTTCCTCTATTTAAGAAAGAAAAGAACGAGAATATCTTTCCACAGGTTTCCCATCTATGTCGCCAAGATTCCTCTGGAGATGTGATAAAAGGACATAGAGTGAAAGCGGCATTTAAATAACCTTGAACGGTCAATTAATTTCATTATGACATAGCGAATCCCCTCCGTTTGTTCTCGAGCTAGTCAACTTCTAACGAAATCTCCGGAACGTTTCGTTCATAGAACGAGTGGGGTCCTGGGATTCAAAAACGCTGCCAATACGTCTATAATTCGAATGATCGTTATCGAATCGTTAAACACAGTGCGATTCGTTTGTTTATTCATCCGCTGGATAATGCATGGATATAAATACAAGATAACAGAAATAGACTGACGAATGTGGAGCAGTCAGAAGCACAGTAAACAAAAGGAAAAAGAATAAACGGTAACATAAGTAGAAAAACCTTTGAAGTAAACACATTTGGCTATCGAAAGACATTCATTATTTCCAGTCGCTTCTCTTGTTTCGGAGTTAAAAGTGTAACAGTTGAACCTCGAATAAGAAATTATGTTAAACTGACTTTTCTGAATTTTTTTTATAAAACTTCTGTGTATTAAGATTTCAATTGGCATATATTTCAGTATAAGTAATTGACTTTAACGATTTCTTACAGAAGCATCTTTACTTTTTCAATAATTTTGACAGAAGAAATCAGGTGTCATTTTGACACATCTTGTACTTCCAGTGTTAAATTCTCGAACGTTAAATCTATCGGTTTCAAAGATTTCTCTCACAATGTTGGGGGATTCTCAAATATTAAAATCTGAACGATCGAATCTTTCCCCGTTTTACAATTGAAACAGTCAGTCGGTAGCCTCGAACGTTCCTGTTGGCGTGACACAGGAGCACCGTTTGATAGCGATTCGTTTATATATAATCGGCAAATAATATGTATGTCTACAAGGAAATCAGGTGTGCGTCATTAAATGTAAACGCATGTTTATCTAGACAGTCGTCTGTGGAGCGGTGCGTTGACTTATCCTCCACTCAAAACCCCGAGCCACATTGTAAATCCATCTGCTGATAACGGTTCAAAGAAAAAGAAAACGATGCGCAGACGGTAGCTGGGTAGCTTGGTTTAGAGATAAATATCGTTTGATATCATCATTAACGGGGGTGCGATACGATCGTCTCTCTAATGTAAGTAAATACCGTTCTCTCGAGGATCTCAGGCATCCAATTTTGTTTAGACTGCCGAAGATAAGGGAGGCAAACTTTCCTCGAACGTCGGCAAATAGGGTTTAAAATAACAGAAATTAATATTGCAAAGTATTTTTAAACTTGTCACCTTGTTAGAATTTATAATACCGTTGAAGTGAATTATTCCCGTTCCATTCTCTATAACATTTAACCACCTAATGATACAAATGAAGAGCTGAATACTCATGAGGAAAGTGGCGAGGACAGTTCACATTATCCTATATATCAACTTATCTACATTCAAATGAGTTCTATCTTCGTAAGAATCATAGAAATAGAGTTTGATTTGCATTCTAAATGACAGTAACATAACGTGCACGTCGGTTGTTCAATGCTACTTACCGAATTAATTATCTAGCTAGTGGATACTGTGTAACAGTCACCCATTAGAAGCATCTATTGATTGTATACTAATTTTAATAATACCCATCGCTCGATTTCTTCTTCTGAATAAAATTATCTTCCTCTTGTCTTCTAACTCGCGAAACAGCGAATTTCTTTGTACTGAATTTTAATTCATCAGCAGAATCTTCGATTTGCATAAACACCCGCAGCCTATTTTTCACGTTTGGTCGTGCGCTGGCAATTAGCGTCGCCGGAAGTATCAGTCCTACTCGGCGTTTCAAATGCACGCGTTAAACGCGCTGTAAATCAATCGGCGCCCGGCGATAAAGCTAATAAGCATGTTGCGGGCCACAATGGAATATGCCGCTTCAAACTCAATTGAAATGCGAGACGCGCGCGTACGCTGTTCGCTTATTGACGGAAGGTCACACATACACGGAGCGCTCCAATTTTCCATTTCTTCGATTCGTTTGAAACGATCCCCATAGAAATTACAACAATTATTCGAGCGATATCACAAAGTTGTCGATGTTTCGCGCGTAGAACTATACGTTGTTACACGTGTACGCACACTTCACCGAAATCAGACTACGAAAGATAAAAGCAGCGTGCATGCTCCAGAATTCTCTGTACTCGAATGATTTATTTATTTCCTAGAAACAGAAGTGTATCAGCGCGTTAACGCTAGAACTACCGACCACCTAAACGGTCTTTTTGAAATGTCTTTATAAAAAGCTGAAAGCGTGAATCTATTAAGATTTCAATTGGCTCGTATTTCAGTTTAGGTATTACTTAATCAGCTTCTTTAGCCGTTTCTCAAAGTATTCGTACCTTTCCAGTGATCCCAAAGGAAAAATCAAGGAATGGGTCATTTTGACCCATCTGGTAGTTCTAGCGTTGAACGCACGTGTATCGTGACGCGTAATTGTTCCCTGTCATTCGGTGAATTGTTTCTCGGTCTGACGTTCGAACGGTAATTCAATTAAATTCTATTAAAGTCGTCGGTTCGCTGTGTTTTTGGCAGTGGTCCGTGTCGTGCACGCTCGAACGGCAGCTGTACCGACGGCAGAAGGCCTGATTCTCGTTCGGTGGCAACGTTGACATCAGGGAGAGAAACGCTAACACCCAGCCGGCCCCACATGTTGCTCCGACAGTGTATATGCGCACGGATCAAAATACTTTGAAATTAGAACTCCATAAATCAGACTTGATTAAGGTGACAAATATTCCACGCGTGATTAATTTAGAAGCTCTTCCCCGATCAAACAGACGGCTACAGTAGTTTCCGTTTAATATTAAAGCGTTAAGGACAGCTCCTCGGGTCTAGTGATCCGAAGACTGCTCCGAAGTCGGCATCAGTGGCTCGCGATAGTGTTCATCGTCTACCGAAGACGCTCAAGTGTTACGAGGTAATCAGAAGCGTACGAGGGCTGCTCCTGAAATCGTAGCAGGCCGGACAAACAGTGAATCTACGTGTAAAAATAAGTTGAACGCGTAGAATAGAATTTTCTCATAAGGCGCTCCATTCGCGAGATAATCGAACTCGAAGGTTTATCCAGCACGAATTCGTTTTTGAGAGAATTGGAAATGGTAAGTCGTAAACGGACATATTAGCGACATTCCAATTGAACAGTATGAAAAAGCAGTATTCTATATTCCGTGTTTATTATATTATTGAACGTTAAATCTGTCAGTTTTAAAGATTTCGCTAAGTATTACTAAATCGACTTCTTTAACGATTTCTCACAGAAGCATCTCTACTTTTTCAATAATTATAACAGAAGAAATCAGGTGTCATTTTGACACATCTTGTACTTCCAGTGTTAAATTCTCGAACGTTAAATCTATCAGTTCCTAAGATTTCAATTGGCTTATATTTATAGATATTATAGATATTGGAAATGGGTGATTAAATAATGAAACGGTATATATTTTACAGTGTGACTTTATTCTAACGGCTTTGAAAAACCCGTCTAGCTCTTTCAAGTTCTCGAATACGAATGACACAGAACACCCAAAAGTAAATTGGGGTCCGCTTTTCTTTACAAGATCGTTTATGGGTTTGCCCGAAGGAGAGCCTCTTGACTTGGCGTGACAAAATACAGACACATCTGGCTGCCTTTCTATCGCCTTTGTTTAGACTGAAGATATATGAACGTCGGGTATTTTTGCTTTTGCTGAGCTAGCATTAGTAATAATTCAGCAATAGACATGTGTATAGTATACCTTGTTACGTTACTCGGTTCATTAGCGTAGCTAGTTTTGGCACGTTGAACTTTGCAATTTTGCAAAGAGATTATTATTCATTATGTACAGTAAATGGCTACCAGTGCGATTATAGTTAACACATTGGGTACCGGTACATTATTCGACGTGTTAAAATTCAGTGTGTCCGTAAGAGTTATTCTCGAGATTAAATTGTTAACGTTCGAATCGTTAGAATTCGAGATTTTTATCTCACGTGAGTACACGGTATTGTTCTTCGGTGGCGAAGAAACAACGCACGGTAATTCACTCCAAGCGAGGATCTAGCCTCGAGACTAGCACGCGAAGGAACGATGTTAAAAATTAACGAACATCGGCCTCGATCGGAAACCAACAATTTCTTCCGCATAATCATACACGTTCCGATGATCGTTTATTCGAGGAATAATGGAAAAGCTATCAAAACACGGTCAAGTGCGCGCACGTGCCGTGACTCATTTAGTTGCGGTTCTCTGGTTTTGTTTCTATCGGATCACGATTCATCGATAAAATAGTATTCGTGGCATGCAAAGTGCAGTTAGAATTTGTTCATAAAGACAGTAGCGAATTAATGTTTCGAAAAATCAAGAAATGAGATATAGGTATAACTAATTATGGAACTTGGTGTGCCATAATAATCGTCGGAAATTCGAAGTGCCTCCATGATGCAACACTATCATCCCAAGCAATTAGAAACTAATAATCGCTTACTTTAGAGTTGATATCACTTCTGCTATCTCTATTTTTCTTGGAAGGTAGACATAAGTTTCTATATAAACAGGTCGAGTCTAATTTACCAGTGATAAAGATTGTCTTACATCTAATGTTACTTCCGAGGAGTACGCACGTGTTTCTTTGAATATCGGCGATCGTTTCGATGAGTTTCATTCCGCGGAGGCTAGGCATTCTCAGTTTCACTTTCTTTCAGCTCATTCTCATTCATCCAAGACCACTGGAAGAAGAATTAACGTTTCCTGATTTTATTCTCATCAGATTAATGTTTCCTTAACTTCAGCGTCCAAAATTGCTCGAATTGTTCATTCGCTTTATCCTGTTACCAATTACAGCTTACGTATAAATTCGTAAATACCGTTAATGAATATTATTAATTAATATTGCAAGAATGACAATTACTAAATCTTCGTGGTATTAAGTAACACCGAACAGTCCGACTATAATATCGAACGATCTTCGGCAAACGATCAAAGATTATTTCCGAGGAACGTTCTCCGTTGTTCATAATAATGCAACTTGTTCGCAGAACAATGGGATACGCAACATAGATATGCCTTCCTAAACTCTTTGAGATGACCGAGGACTGCCGGCTTCGCCAGAATGGACAAAAATCAGAGGACGGAAGTGAAGAATCCGCGGCAGAATGCCAACGTTCTGTCGATAATATCGTTCTCGTAAGAGTATAAAAGTTTCGACTTCGTTTCAACGTATCTCGCTTCGCGAAAGAATGAAGATGCGAACCAATGACGTCAGATGTTACTTCGCACTGATTTGTTTATCCGCGTCAGTCGCGCGAGATGCGTCGATTACACTGTGGAACGCGACGTTTGTTTTGTAATAACCATTAGGTGCGCTGCATAGACCCGGACACCGGTCACTTCTTATATATAATGTTTAATTGTTTCATAAATATTCATAATAATTATGAGAAAGCTTTTGAAACGTCTGCAGAATCCAATGGTCCACAGCAAATCCGTAGAAATGTAACAGAAGTGCGTACAAAGTACGCGCATCTATACTTTTTTAAACCTCGATCATCATTTACAAACATTTAATGACACCCAATATTCGAAATTTTTATAGCTACATATTCTGGCAACTCTCCCCTATCTTTTACGACAAATTTTAACTGCCTATCGTTTTTAGTTCTCACGTAACACTTGGTTCTCCGAAAAATTCGACCGTTTTTACGAAAACCCATTTCCTTCGAAAACTGGACGTGACCTTAGGAATTTCGTGTTCGGATTCGTATTCAGGGCAAGGAACTCTATAAGAACCACCTAGTGATCATTGCAAGACAGAAAAGAAAGTTCAAATTTGTTTCACAGTGTTATCGTCGTCAACGATGAGCTTCGTAATGGTTTCCTTCTTAATCGTTCTTTTAACGGGCAGGTGGATATTGAAGCTGTTCGTTGTCGGTTACAAGCGGGAGTTAGATGAGAGCGATCTCTACTCTCCGTTAGAGGAAGACAAGAGCAGCTATTTAGGGCAGCGCATCGTGAAAAATTGGGAGGAAGAGGCGAAACGATGCGAGAAGAGAAAGGACGGCTCGAAGCCGAGCTTGTACAGAGTACTTTACAACTGCTTCGGCGGCTTAGTCATGTACGCCGGATTGTGGGTGTTTTTTATAGAATTTGTTATACGGTACGGTAACATTCAATGAATTCCATATAACTCGGTTATTTAATAAATACACGAAATGCTGCTCGAAAAAATTAGAAAACCACGTTTGAATTAGGCAAATCGAAAAGGGACGGACCACTCTTTTAACCCTTTGCACTCGGAAGTATTTCGTTAGAAACACTTAACATTTTCTAACTAGACAAAGATGATATTTTTTGAAATTAACTCGAAGAGAAATCACAGGTACATTGAGAAACAAAGTATTTTTATCCCAATATTTCACGCGTCGGTGCATTATACACGGTTCAATGTCAAATATCAAATTTTATAATTTTACTGCATCACAGATAAATTAAGCGACGAAGGTATTTCATTTAAATATTTCCTATAGCAGTACGAAGTTTAATTTAAAATACTAAATATTTAAGTTAAATGCATACGAGAAGAATAGAAGAATAGGGCTACGCGCAAGATTCAATGAAACAATTGAAAATATAGATACTTGAATCGACATTATCCTCGAGTGAATGACTTACTAAGCTTCGTTTCATCTCATCGCTACGTTCGAATCTTTTTGCATCTTTCTATTATCAATACGAAGCATCAGGTCATTTCAGTTTCCCACCCTTTAACAGAATCTCTCCGCACGAGGAGTTAATGACACACGACAGAAGGGACATCTGAGAAATCGAAGATTCGTTCTATAAAAACCATGCTGTCCTCGTGTTCTCGGTTCTTGGAACCCGTTACGAAACACCAGCGATCAGAGAGTCCGTGTATCGTCCATAGAACAGTTTCGTAGTTAAGGGGTTAACTGGTGGTACAATGTTGACGCGTCATTAATCATAGTAACACGATCCACTTATCTCTGCCGCGAAAAAGTATCAATAATACGTCTTTATTGTGCGCGTCCTGTCGTTTTCAGTACAGATGCACGAAAGTCACGAGGATCTCTTATATTTCTGACCGCAGAATCCATTTATCATGACGAGTAGGTAATAGTTACACGAAAAGATCGTATCGCGTGACTCGTTTCCAATAAGAGACGCAGGGGAAATTCGTTTAACAATTCTTTCGAGCAGAATGTGCTTTTCTCCGAGCGACGTACAGGGTGACTCAATAGGCATCACTGTTCTAACGTTTGTCTGATATCAGAGCGACATTCCATGCAATTTCGTTCGATGTCAAATATAAAAATGATGGATTTAACCGACGCGAAACGCATGGAAATTATTGTTTCTCGGATACAGTTCACTTTATCTTTTTGACGTAACCTATTGCCTCAGTCTGTGCGGGAAAACCGAACGAAACGTCGCGTCCACGTAATTATGATTTATTTTAGAATCGCTCAACCGTTCCTGCTAGCTAGATTATTGCGATACTTCTCCGGGAATAAAAGAGAATGGAGCCAGGACATGTACTATTACGTGCCAGCGTTCTGTCTGTTGCCACTCGTCGACGCAATAATCCTCCATTGGTCCCTCCAGGCGTTGATGCACGTGGGGATGAAAATCAGGGTGGCTTGCTGCACTCTGATCTACAGGAAGATCCTGAAACTGTCCAATTCCGTCCTCGAGAACGAAACATCCGCTGGACAAGTAACAAAGGGATTAATCGAATTATTAGGTAACCAAAAAGTTCGAACGGTTGGAGCGAGAGAGGAAAACGAAAATCGTGGGAACTTCCTTGGTTATCTAATACTGGCCGACGTGCTCGGATTGTATGACTTACTCGTCGCCGGTGTTGCAGATGGTGAACTTCCTGAGCAACGACGTCAACAGGCTCAATTATTTTGTATTCGGCATTCATTACTTATGGATCGGACCGATCCAGATGATTCTGATCACGTATCTGATATTCCGGGAGATCGGATTCGGCGCCATTACTGGGATGATAGCGTTTATACTGGGCATACCGTTGCAGAGTAAGTTAATTCTCTTCTCTTCTCTCTCCTTTTTCCACTGTTCGTTTCTGTAGGAATTGCAGCTTGAAGTTTCACGGCAATTCGATTTCAGAACGTTGAAGGTTAATAGTTCCGATCGTATTGAATCGAGACAAATGATTTTTCTTAACCCCTTGCCTTATAACAACGTGCTAGACTCGTGGTGAAGATTTTTAACATAAATTACTCATAATTAATAAATTACTCAAACATAATTACTCAGTTCATACGAATTCGAAGTAAAATATTATTCTTCTGTAATCAATTATTATATTTAGGAAACACAGGCATAACGTATAATTTTTCTCTTTCTCCAAGAAATGATTAATGAAGTAATCGTATCGATCAGAGTTGGGAAAGAAATCATAGGGCAAGGAGTTAATGGAGTGTTATTCGTACCGAAGGAAGAATTAATATCATTAATTAAATTTAGTGGTAATGAAGCGAGTAATAATTTGAAACAGTGTCTGCGAATATTTTCTATCGTTAATTGTGATTCGTTCTTTATGTACTTTGGGTTTCTATTCAATAAATTATTTACGTGTAATATCACTACATTTCATACTCTTTTTGTATACTTCTTTTAGTGTATTTTGGACGGAAAGTGTTGCGTTTGACTGATGGCTCAGCGAAGAAAACCGACGATAGGCTAAGTTTGATGAATCAGATCATCGCTGGGGTGGAAGTGATCAAGATGTACGTTTGGGAGGTCCCGTATTCTCTCCTCGTGGAAAAAGCCAGGCGGTGAGAGATACTATATGTAAAATTCCTTTATTCGAATTCTCATTCGAATTATTTTCAATGGTTATACGTTACCATTAAACTGCCAAACGTCCTACATTTACAGTGTATGTTCATTTACTTCGAATGTTCATAAAACAGAAGTTTCCATGGAATCTTATAGAATTTTACTTTCAATTTAACCGAGACCATCGACAAAGAATATTGAATTTTATTTCATGCCAGTTTCTTTTAACCCTTTGCACTCGAGAGGTGACTCACCCATCACTTGATTTCATACAGTGAAACTATAAAATTTGATATTTAACATTGTACCCTGTATAACTCATCAATTTGAAGAATATTGAAATAAAATAGCTTCGTTCCTCAATATACGTATGACTCCTTTCCGACTTAGTTTCACAAAATGTATTTATCTCATCAGAAAGTGTTAAAATATTTCTAGTGAAAAACTTCCGCGTGCAAAGGGTTAGTATCATTGTGAAAATGAATATTCGTATTACAATGATCATACGACGATTCCAATTTGAAATTCACGAGAGATAATATTTGAAGTCCCTGGAAAAATTTAATGTGCCTTCAGGAAAGAGGTGGATGTGATCAAAAAATACTCCATCATCGAGCAGTTCGGTTTAACGTTCGACGCCTACGTCCCTCGAGTCGGCTTATTCATAACGATATTGACGTACGTCTTAAGCGGCCACAGCATCGATGTCGAGAAAGTATTCATGACAACAGCGTTTTACGCTATTTTACGGAGCTCGATGACCATTGGCTTCGCCTTGAGTAAGTTGTTTCATTGAGTACGTTTGCTCGAAATGATCCCTAGAAAGACTAGACCTCGAAATCCAGCAATATCATTCACGCATGAAACTAATTTCTATTAATACATCTTCGATATAAATCATTTTTCTTCAGACATTCACCTAAGATGTGAAATGTTTTTAATGACCGATACCCAAGATCACCTTCCCTTAGTCTTTCGAGGGTTAATATTTACCTCTTCGATCACGTGAGATTGTTGACACATTCCCGACCGTTGATACAATATTACGCCGCATGCTTTTAACCGATGGAAAGTTCCCGCCGCGAGGAGCCAAGTGGAATCAATTTACCGTTCGTAATTGATTAAACAGGAACAAACCTAAAAATCGAAGTTCTTGAATGTTTTGATTGATTGCAAAACGCTGGCAAAGTCTGATGAATGATTAAATATCAGTATATATTAGTAAAGACAAGAGAATAGTATTTACTTATGTGTTTACATTCTACCTGTATTTATACATTTTCCGTTGTAAATACATTTAATCATAATTATTAAATAAATTTAATGAATTATAAGTATTCATTTGCTAGTATATCTCGAAAGTTAGTAGATTTCGGCAGTTCTTTCAGTCGGTGGAAACGCGAGCTCCCAAAAATCTCGTCAGAGAAAAATCTAGTAACTTACACCGTTCCCACGATAAATGATTCCCTTAGGTGTCCACCAATTAGCCGAGGCAATAGTGTCCATCAGACGTCTCGAGAAATTCATGATGCACCCGGAACGATCGGTGCCCCAGGAGCGACCGAACGAAATGGCCTCGCAATCCATGCCGGTCTACCTGAAGAACGTCACCGCCAGATGGGACGAATTCCGCGAGTACACGCTGCAGAACGTTAATCTGTCGATCAAGGCAGGTGACTTCATAGTTGTGATAGGCCAGATAGGTTCCGGAAAGAGCAGCCTGTTGCAGGCGATCCTGCGCGAGTTGCCTCTGGAGGAAGGTGTCCTGGAGGTCCATGGGAAGATCAGTTTCGCGGACCAGCAATCTTGGCTTTTCGCGTCCTCCGTGAAACAGAACATTCTGTTCGATCAGCCGATGAACGAGGCGCGGTACAACGAGGTGATCCGCGTCTGCCAGTTGACCAAAGACTTGGAGAGTCTATCGCACGGCGACAGGACCATGGTAGGCGAAAGGGGGATCAATTTAAGCGGCGGTCAACGCGCCAGGATCAATCTCGCGCGAGCCGTCTACGCGGACGCCGACATTTACCTTTTAGACGATCCCCTATCCGCGGTGGATCCGCACGTGGGCAGCCGCATCGTGCAGGACTGCATAAGCGGTTACCTAAGTAACAAAACCCGGATCCTGATCACCCACCAGATACAGTATCTGAAGTCGGCCGATCAAATAATCGTGATGAGCAACGGGAGGATAGCGGCCAAGGGCAGCTTCGAGGAGCTTCAGAATACGAATCTGGATATCATGAAGATCTTCCAGGACGTCGAAGAGAGTAAAGAGGCGAAAGAGCCGGAGGAGAGGAAGGAGAAGAAACTGGTTGAGAACGCGAAGGAAGAGGCCGACGCGGTCCGGTCCGAGGAGCCAATCGAAGTGGCCGAGACCAGGACCGTGGGCAAGATTTCCGGCCGCGTGTTGTTGGCTTATCTGAAAGCGAGCAAGAGCGTTCTCCTGGTCGTCGCGATGGTCGCGTTTTTCGTGATGAGCCAGGGGATGGCGAGCGGCAGCGATTACATGCTCGCTTATTGGGTGAACGCCGAGGTAGCGTCGTTCGTCTCGACCGAGAATGGTACGATGGATTTTCAATGGAGTGATCCACTGCCTCGTCACGGTCTTATTTATCTTTACAGTGGGCTGACCATGGGTATCGTCGTCGCCTATATGTTGCAAACGTTCGTGTACTACGCGGTTTGCATGCGGGCATCGAAAAACTTGCATGCGGCGATGTTCCGCAGCATCGTGCGGGCCGCGATGTACTTTTATAATACGAACCCCGTCGGACGGATATTGAACAGGTATTTAAAGAGGATTGTAGCGCGCGAACGGGGCCGGCTTCGAGCGACAAGATGGCGGGCATGCGCGACGCGAACTCGAGGATGTTCACGGCGGAGTTGCGAGATAAGTTGAAACGCTCGATTCGACAGGTTTTATTCGATTACTGAAATTACGCTTCCGGAGGAAACTGGGAAATGCATTCGTGCATTCGTACGGACACAAATCGCTCCTGTGATTTCTATATGGATGTAGGAATGTGTGTTAGATTGAAATTGAGATTGAATTGTCGAAGCTGGCCTCGCGCGAAGATATGTCATTTCGTGCACTGAGAAAATTTCAACGTTAACGGGATCAATTCTTAATCAAGGTTCTCCATAGATATTGGTATCATCGACAAAAGACTGCCGTTCACTATGTTCGACGTTATAGTAATGTCCTTAACATTCGTGGGCGCTATAGTGATCGTCGCCAGCGTCAGTTTCTGGCTGCTGATACCAACTTTCATCCTTATCACCATTTTGTATTACATGCGAGTAGTGTACATTACAACCAGTCGCGCCGTTAAACGTCTGGAGGGCGTCAGTAAGTGTCATTTTATTACATTAAACATTGCATTTAGCGTTGACACGTTTGTAGCCGTGGTTGTCCGTTAAGATAATCTCATGCGCGGACTCGATGATTGGATAAAATCCAATTATGCCCGTGAAAATTGCATTGTACCACGAAAAAGATATCAAATAGTTTCTTCGATGCGTCTTAACCACTTACAGTCTTAGGTCAAAAGTTTCTCGGACAAAATCAAATACATACAAAATAAATTCCAATTCAACTGGTTAAATGAATCAGACTAAAGAGTATCAGTATCCTACGAAAAAACATCATTTCTATTCTATTCTATTCTACGAGGTTCCAGCGACACTGCGTCGAACGTGTTAACGACAAACGACAGAAGCTCCGATCAATGACGACACCTTCTAGAGCGTAACGTTAAAAATTCATTGAACCTTCCTCGAATTTTCCAGCACGATCGCCAGTGTTCGACCACGTGGGCGCCACGCTGCAGGGCCTGACGACGATCAGAGCGTTCAAAGCCGAGGCCTCGGTGACAAGGGACTTCGACAACCACCAGGACCTCCATTCATCCGCCTGGTTTATATTCATCTCCATCTCGCGCGCGTTCGGCCTCTACATCGAAACGCTCTGCATGGTCTATATAGCGCTGATCACGATCATATTCCTAGTATTCGATGACCTGGCAGTCGCGGGCGATATCGGCCTGGTTATCACGCAAATCACCTCGATCATCGGGATCCTGCAGTGGGGTATGCGGCAGACGGCCGAGCTCGAGAACATGATGACCTCCATAGAGCGAGTCTTGGAGTACAGCAATCTCGAGGAGGAACCTTTCCTCGACAGCAACGAGGACCAAAAGCCACCCGAGAAGTGGCCCACGAAGGGGCTGGTGCAGTTCAAGGACGTGAAGCTGAAGTACGGACCGAAAAGTGCGTATGTTCTCAAGAACATCAACTTCACGATCATGCCGAAGGAGAAGGTCGGCGTGATCGGCAGGACCGGCGCCGGCAAGTCGTCCCTGATCAGCGCGCTCTTCCGGTTAGCGTACATCGAGGGTGAGATCACCATAGACGACATAGCGACCCATACGGTCGCGCTGCGCGATTTCCGCTCGAAGATCAGCATCATTCCGCAGACACCGGTGCTGTTCGCCGGCAGTTTGCGCCGGAATCTGGACCCCTTCGACGAGTACACGGACACCGTTCTCTGGGAGGCCCTCGAGGAGGTCGAACTGAAAGAGACCATCTCCGAAATGGCCGCCGGCCTGAACACGAAGGTGGCCGAGGAGGGCTCGAACTTCAGCGTTGGCCAGCGTCAATTATTGTGCCTTGTCCGCGCGTTGATCAGGAACAACAAGATCATGGTGCTCGACGAAGCCACCGCCAACGTCGACCCGCAAACGGATTCCTTGATCCAGCAGACGGTCAGGAAGAAATTTATGGACTGCACCGTCTTCACCATAGCGCACAGGCTGAACACCGTCATGGACAGCGATAAGATCATTGTGATGGACCAGGGTAGCCTAGTTGTAAGTGGATTTCTCGAGTACTCCGTGATTTCCGTGCGAAAGAGCGCAGAGAATGTAAATTTAAGATTCTCGAAATTTGAATACGGAATTTTGGAAGGTCTCGACATTTGACGTGCTGATTTTATTTAATTCTTTGTGAATTGAAGTCGCTATTTTTGTGCTCTTTATTGTCTGTGACAAAATACAGCAACAGTAGAACAGTATGCAAGGATATGTAAGTTACTATCTTGTGTGAGAGCAGTACATTCACTCTGCGAAGAATTTGTTATTCATTGATTTTATTTTTATTTTCTATTTGAGAGCTATCTGTAAGCTATCTGTACTTTATTTCGAAATTTTCTATTTTTCATTTGTTCCGCGGAATAAGGAACTCGACTTCTGAGCTGAATTCGTTTCAGGAATTCGACCATCCCTACGTTTTGCTGCAAAAGAAGGGCTACTTTTATGATATGGTGCAGAAAACCGGTGCCGCGATGGCGAACAGTTTGACTGAGGTGGCGAAGAATGTGAGTAACACGTATCACGGTACACTAAGCGTGAAATTGCTTCGCAAGATAATTTAATGCACCATTTCTGTCGGCTTTCCAGTGTTTCTACAGGAAGAACGAGGCGGCGCCTTGATGATTGTCAATTCCAGCAGTAACTAAGGTGCAACGATATTTAAACTAAATTCTTTTTTATACGTTCAATTTGTATTTTTGTACGTAGGAACGACGGCTTTCGTTCTAAAGTTTCCTCGATTCCAAAAGCAGCCAAGAAAGTATGGTGCTCGTACGTTAAGATACTACCTATCAATAAGTTGATAACTAATTTAGGGAAATTTAGATAGCGTCAATTTTTTATAATCAGATCAGTATCACGCATATATTATACAATGAAAACTGTGTATGAAATCATGTGTTCCCTTAATAAAAGATCAATCGTATTGTCTTTAATCCTCACAACTGTGTACGGTATTCTTGTGAAAAAAGTTTAGGTATACTCAACGCCATGATTCGATGATCATTAACAAACTATTTATTCATTCCTATTTACACTTGCGATAATCTCATAGCCTGCTCGTATTCTGGAATCTTCGGTAATTTGTATAGATGAAGATTCGTAGTCCAATAGTGGTCTTGGTTAGGTATAGAATTTCCTTCTCCAGTTCTAGTCCGATTTCGCTTGTAGCACGGAGACAAAGGCCATGGAAGCTTTCATGAGCTGTTCGAAAAATTCATTGTTTTTAATAAGCGCGAAGATTATTTCGAAAGGTATTTAACCACGTGAAATCATACAAGCGGTACACATTTCTGCGAATAGTCTTATTTTAACACTTTGACTGCCATGTAAACACTCGTCAAAACTCCCATGTACTAGAAACAGTTTGTTTCATTATCCAGAAACCGAGAAGTCAAGATTCTTCTTAATAATTACTCCACTATCTTTCTTATATCTCATATATCCAACAAAATCCAGTTTGTTCGATGTATGACCATAAAAATTAACCTTTTGAACTCTATAGGCTCCAATATTGCACCAGTTATAATATTAAATATTTTAATGAATCTTAAAGAAACTACCCTAAAATTATTAGATTCTCCACACATCCAGATTTTGTACTAAGGAAAATAAAAGATCGAAGGAATGTTATAGTATTTCTAATTTTCGCTAGGGATACTATAAAAATTAGTTGCAGTTGCTGATAGACTACAAAACAACCTGGACTGCTAAGGGTTAACACATTGTTGACCGATCACGAGTTAACTCGTGCTTTCATGCCTAAACGTTGTTGACCGGTCACGAGTTAACTCGTGTTTGCACTCGCATCAGCTATTTCAATTGTTGAAACGCAGGGCAATATAGAATATTGCAAAAGCGAAACATTCAAAGTTATCTAAAGCATATGTCCGAAGTTTCATTTCAATTCATTATGTATAAGCGAAGTATATTGAACTTTATTCAGATTGCTCCACTTTCATATTCAATTACGGAATGATACCGCTGACATGAGATACCTATTGTGCAACATTGCCGGGCCACAATGTGTTAATGTCCAAGTGTCCGTGAAAAATAGTGTCACCCGAATTCCCGTGGCGCGGCAGTCAAAGTGTTAAAGGTTCAACCGCATTTACATTTATTGCCGATTCTTGAAACGACCGAATTGTTTAACTTACCTCAGTAAAACCGAACAACGAAAACGAATAGAATTTCCCAGCTGATAGATACATCGGTTTTTGTCCGTTCATCTGACAGAGCAATAAAAGTGTCCTCTGCCGACTCTCGACGTTTACCCAGTTGGTATCGTAGAACGCCTCGCCCACTTCCTGCGACTGAATATTACAGATAGAGTGCGGATTCTTATTCGTTTATTGGAACATTAAACGTGCAACATCGCAAAGAAACGTATAAAGTATTCGGACTGTGGTGCTTTTCATATTTCTCGGGATAGATCACATTTCACCGTGATGCCTACCTTTTCTAATTGTATCCTTAAAATTTCGAATTTGCATAAACATAGGGGAACATTTGACGCTTATGTCATTCTTCACGAAATTGCAGCAAAGACATAGAAGATGAAAAGACATTCGGGACATTATTTTTATGTACAATTTTATACGAACCACCTGAACGACCTGTTCACCGAGATACGAGTACAAAAACAACCAGGTCCCGGTGATTATAGAATATATAGTGAAGACAAAAAGGGCCGTCGAGTTTCTTCCGATCGTCTATATAATGCAAAAAAGTATTCACGTTGGTACGTTGAAAATATTCGTCGTACTCTACTCCTACTGACTAAAACGTCTCCGTTTATTTGATGCGAAAGATTCGAAACTTCGAAAACTGAAAAGACAATTAATGGTGTATTCTTAGCGACAAACTGAACGATCTCTTAATCATACTTTCACACTTCATTCTTTTATAAAGAAAAAGGAATTGCGGTGTATAATTGTCGTCGTCTTGGAAAAGTGTTACATTCAAGATTTAATGTTCGTAACCATGCATATGTTTCGAGCAGAATCGATTACATACGAGCAACACCAAGTATATGCCAAGGGCGAATCTGAGGGTGCAGTTCAGATACTCCACCAAAAGTATGTGGCGGAACATGTCATTGAGATGGTCTGAATACCTGAAACACAAAACAAGCATCTCTGTCGTGGATATAAAAAAGTTCGTTTCTGGTTCAACACATTCAGTGCCACGTGTACCATATACGGTACATGCCAATTTCTCTAAGAAAATATTTTTAACCCCTTGCCGTACAATGACGAGCGAGACTCGCGATGATGATTTCTAAACTAATTTAACAAGAATATATATTGTTCATTACCCACGGATCAAAGCAAACAACTATTTCGCTATTATCAATGTATTATCTTCAAATGAAATTTCCACCTGAAGTAGAATGGACAATTTTGCTGTATTTCTTACGAATTGTCGATAGTAAAATTACACGAGCTTAGTAACGAAAGTAAATAGTACGCCGAGGGGTTAAGGGACACATGGTCACGGATGATGGTATGCGTTACAAAGCAGCGAGAACATAAAGGAACAATATCAAAATATATAAAAGTTACCAAAAACTTGAATATAAGTTAATATATTCATTTCTGCCATGTCCACTAGGAATTTTTTCCCAACGTTTCGCCAGCATTGCAGTTGGCTTCATCAGGGGGCTAAAGACACACTGACGTGTGTCGAGGAAGAGTCTTTTCAAATATAATAAAAATCGGGAGGGGGGAGTGCCAAATGGGATTCAGTTGATATCCTGTGTCCCTGTTGATGTTGTTCGGGTGTTTCAGGATTTCAATAGATTCCCTATACTTGCGTGGAAAGTCGTTTTTGCATCTGGACAAGATCTTCGTCTCTTCGAACTTGATCGTGTGTCCCGTGGTCAACTGATGTTCCGCGACCGCAGACTGGGTGCACTTTAGTCTGGTGCAACGATTGTGTTCGACGAGGCGTGTACTCACGCTCCTCCCGGTTTCACCGATGTATACTTTACCGCATGAACATGGGATTTTGTACATTCCCGCATGTGATGGGCGCGGTTGTGGATCCTTGGAGGTGAGGACCTGTTCTATTTGTGTCTGCCAAATGAATGCAGTTCATAAGCAAAATACAACCGAAATTTCCGTGGCACGGAACGCGTTAATCGAAGGCTAAAACGGATCACCCAAAGGACCTAATAAAGGAGAAGCTAAAAGAGAAATGAACAGAACAGTGTAACCTTGCTGGAAGCGGTGCTCCCGTGATACATATATAAATGTTCAAAATTCGCCACGCCTGCGGACGGAGGAACTGCAAAGAAAAATTAGAAATGACGGACAAGTGTTCTCTAATCGTGACACGTTATTGTAAAGCAAGGGGTTAACGCTGTCATCCCATTGCAGAGCAAATCCGTCGAAAATCTACTTACGCGATTAACTCTACATGCTGGTTCACTATCGATTTAACCTTGTGCCTGAACTCGCTCGCGGGTTCCGTTAGGGACACCCGAATGCGACGAGCGAGAACCGCGAGCTTCCCGCAGATGTGCAGCGTTAAAGTCGCCAGGAGGCTCGCCGCCGCTGCATGATACGTCCCCACGAGAGGGACGACAGATTGGAAAATCATCGCCAGGCAGTACACTTTGCCGTTGTGGCTGTAGTCGACGAACAAGTAGACTTTGAAGGGAAGTTCATACGGATGGGTAACGTTATTCTCGTCTGGAACAGAGCCGTCGCACTCAGAAACGGAATTGATTCTAAAAGAACAGGGGAAAGTATTTAACCCTTTGCACTCGAGAATATTTTTCTCAATAAACATTCATTATTTTCTGACGAGATATTAACACGTTGACTGCCACGAAAAACTTCAGCGTTTTGTGTATCACTTATTCTTTTGTAGCAAAAACGAAAAGGAATAATTATGAATTATTTGCTACACAATTATCAGGTTACACTATGATCCAGTTATTTGAGTTATTAAACATTTTCATTCGACGCCAGTTACTTTACGAATTATAATTGTTTTCGAGTAATTTGAATGCTTTGGTCATCGGTGACCACCGTGGCAGTCAGCGTGTTAACGATATTCTTTGCAACTTACATAAAGGAACATCTTGTATAAATTACGAGGCAGAAATGTATTTCTGTTTCATGTGTTAATACCTTATTCAACATTTTATATAGAATTCTTCATTTTATAATTTTTCTGCGTTCAATTAAATGGTGACCGAGAGTCGCCTCTCGAGTGCGAAGGGTTGATAATCGAAATTTTCATGAAAATCTGCGATTCACTCGTAATATTCAACGTTGCGATATAAGTGTCGAGAGTGAGCATGAAATATATTTTTAACGACTACAAAGTATCCGTTGGCGCAGTCCTCTCCCTCGCAAGAGTCAGTTGTCCTTCCCAAGAAGGACAGCCATTTTCATTGCACGCGCTGAGCGTCTTTTTCTCTCCGCGTTGTTCGGCAGTTCGTAGCAACCATCGAACAGCGTTCCGTTCTCAGTTTTTGTAAATCATCGTAATACATACTAATGAATATACACACAGTTTTTCAAACTGTGTTGTGTTTATTTTTGCAAATGAATATTCAACGATAAAATGAAACTTTCAACGCCGATTCAGTGATCATTAAAGATTACCTGTGCGAGGTTGGGTCGCCAAGGTGATCAGCGGTCGAAAGTACATCACATAGCCAACGAAGAGCCCGTAGATCACTATATATTTGTCGAAGTTGACATAGATCCTGTTGTACTTGCGATAAAGCCGCTTCTCCTCCTTGTTCTGGAACAGTCTGCCGGTCTGGATGTCGTCCAGCATGTTGTCCTTCATCTCGTTCAACCCCTTCATCGTCTTGATCATGAGGACCGTGTACAATATCGAGGCTGTCAGCGGCGTCGACAATAGGTTTACCATCAGCTCCGTGAACTTGAGGAATACATTGTACGCGTCCCAGCACTCGAGCGTCTCCAACAGGACGATGTACAGGACACAGACCACGAACATTTTCGGGGTGTGTTGCCACGGCAGGAAACCGCCCAGCGAAAAGATTCGTGTACAATAAACGAGGGGTTTTCTGATTACGATCTCCGAGCCATCGGTCTAGACACCGGGGATTGAAAAGGTTCCGAATATAACTGATTGCGCCTGTTGTATATCGGTTCCGATTGAAACAGTCACGGAGAACGGAAATAGAGCCATAATTGTTATTAGGTACGTCGGCTTCGGTTCTGGTTATTCTGTACCGATTTTACGACTGTTCTTTTTTGTATATGCATTCTGGTTCAAACATTTTCTTACGTTTGGTTTCTTTCGATTTTGTTCTTCAGTCCTGTATATCTTCTAACACGAAAAATAACAGTTATAGAACCGACAGAGAAACCGATGTACATACTTAATGACAGTTACGACTCCGCTTCTGTTCTCTATAATTACTTCAAAATCCGGAATCGACGTGATAGCTGTTTTCCAACCCTGCTAGAAACATTCTCGATGCGCCCCGTCTTCCACGCGTAAGATTCAAACCGTACCATCCCCCAAAAATTGTCGCGTACCGATATTCATCGCGTTGTCCGATACCCTGCCTCGGTCCTTCGAACGATATCCAGCTATTCCAACGTTCAATAATTTCATTCGAACGGAATTGCTTCGAGACATTTCGCGTCAACGCGGGACAAACGTTTCATACGGCGGAACGAATAATGCACACCTCCTCTCTTACTGGGTTGACGACTTTATTGCTCGAATCCATCTGAACCGCGGCGAACAGCTCGACGAACTTCGATTCCTCTTGCAACTTGTGGTGTGCTGGTCAGCGGATACAAGTTTGCATGACAAACTCGGATACGCGAATGCATAACTGTTAAAAGCTGCGCTCCGCTGATTCGTAAATCATTTATTTAAACGCCGCAGTCTAATTTTTTACGTTCGCCGTGACGTGTAACCGATAATTATCGGTACATACGTTCCGCCGTTCTTCGTTTCTCCGCCAGCGGAGAACTCAACGCGGAATTATTTATTCACGAGCGACGCTGGCGGGCGCAACGCAACGCAACAGCTGCGAAGTTGCTTTTTGTTGCACCTATGGTTCGGCTCAGAAGTGTTACGGGCGTTTCTTACGTGTGCGAAGTCGGGACGACGAGGGGACGCTTACAGTTTAGATATTTTGGCCGGCTCGATTTTTAAAACCGAACGCGACGCGATAAGACGGAACTATAGAGAAGTTTCTTTTCAGTAGAGGGCCCGTCGATAGACACTTCGTTGTTGTCCGCCCTACCTGTTGGAGCATCGCTCCTAGCTCCTGCGATTGTTGACCGTCGTCACCGATTGAAAAGCTAATCGTAAGTACACCTGACCCTTTCTAACGCGAGCCTCCTTTTTACGCGGTAATTTTTACGCGAGATCTGAATTTAGTAACAGCGAATAAAATATACTTTTGTTTTCTAAAATGTTATTATTCTTATTTATTACGTTAAGCTGTGTGAAATAAATATGTATTTCTAAAACTTACACCAGCTTTTCTCAATATTTTGTTTTCCCTCGTTCCAACGGGCACTATTTACGCGATTTTCGTTCAGGAAAAAGGAACCCACGTCGAACGGATATTCGCGTGAGTAATGAGAATTTTTAGGTTTGAAACATGGAAGGAAAACAGTGTCGCGTACGTTTCGATGGTGAGATTACAAACTTGGAGTTCTGTTGGGTGGAATCAAACGGATTTCGAGTGAAAGTAATTTCAGGAATAGACAAGTGTCTCGAGTGAAACGCGCTATTTTAGTCTGACCGCTGAAACTGTTTTCCCTGAAACAGCAAGGCTTATTTTTAATGTCGTTTTCGCTTCTGCAGCGGTTCCACGGAAAGCTTGTTAAATGACTTCCACTGGGATGTTTCTCACTAGAAATATTTAACATTTCTTTACGAGGCGAGGACGATGTTCTTTGAGACTAACTCGAAGAGAAATCACCGGTACATTGAGGAACAAAGCTGTTTTATTCCAATGTTTCACGTATCGAGGCATTGTACAAAGTTTAACATTAAATATCACGTTCCGTAGTTTCACTGTGTCAAATTAAGTGGTAACTGAGAGTCACCTCTCGAGTGCAAAGGGTTAGGTGAAACTATTTGTTTTCAAGCCTGTTTCGAACACTGAATATTTTGAAAGTATCAACAATTATTTTGTTGTCAGTTGTGCGTGGTGGTTCCTAATTCTTAATTTCTCCGCATGGTCGACGGTGAAACATTAAGAATTGTAATATTGTTCTTTTATTACCTTTCACTTGGATGTAATAGAATGCGAGCGAGTTTCGGTGAATAATTACCATATTTTGTTGTAACTGTCATTGTCGTTGCTAGCTCCTCGAAGACGCAGACGTTCCTAAAATTTGTAATCCTGACGCGCCCGGGAAAGGAAAAAGATACAAAGATCAAAGATACATCGACGGTTATTATGTTTATATATTACAAAGGGCTGAAAACAATATTTGGACGCAATTGTCTCATGTCTTCTGGACAGATTCATTCCATTGTTGCTTGCAGCATAGATATACACGCCAATGAAAATTTCATCATCTGTGCAAGAAAAATGCATTATACGATGATATTATGAAGTTTTTATAATTCTAAACGAAAGTTCAGTGCGTTCTCTGTTAATGATTTTATTACCTTAACGTAAACAGAAAATAGCAAAAATATAGTATACTCTAAATTTCTTTAAGGCATTTTAATTGTTTCAGCTGTTATCAATATCGTGGATTATATGAACGAGTATGCAGAAATTCACACGTACGTCAGTAAATCCGAACAATGAGAATTTGTAGAATTTTCCGGCCGTCAGGAATTGCCTTTGTTGTCCATTTATTAGACACATCAATAATGTTTTCCTGTCGTTGTTTGTCATTTCTGGCCAATCGATATCATACATCGCATCGCCCAAATCCTGCGACTAAATATTATTCATTTATCTCGTTGTTGTCGCATATCGTTCAAGGAAATATGGGTTACTGTTCGATTAATGGGATTTTTGTTGTTCCAGCTGAATGGGAACGAGCGTGCGATGGTTATCAATTTTTATTCTACCGTCCCTCCCATTGATGCACACCAAACATAGGTACAGGCTGAGCAGTGAGTAACGTTAGAATCTTAATTCTCATTTACATCGAATACCAACCTCGAAAACAAGTTGTTCGCCGACGTACGAATACAAATACCACAAGCCTGACACACTCATACCGTACATAATGAAGTTGATAGTGGCCGCCAAATCGTATCCAAACGTCTGCGAAACAGATAATACAAGAACTTCTGTACATTGAAACATTCTATTTTTGTATATCATTTCCGGTTAACCCTTTGCACTCGACAGTCCTTCGTTTGAAATACTCTATACTTTCTAATTGGATACAGACAAGATCCTTTAAAATGAATTTAACCAGAAATCATACGTAAATTAGGTAACAAACCTATTTTCTTTCAAATATTCCACGTGTCGATGCAGTATACAAAGGCTAGTGGTAAATACGAAAGTTTATCATTTTTCTGTATCTAATCATCTGGCGATTGGTAGTCGCGTCTCGAGTGCAAAGGGTTAACACTTTGACTGCCACGGCGGTCACCGACGACAGGAGCTTTCAAATTACAAGAAAATAATTATGACTTGGAAGATAATCGATTTCGAGTACAAGTTTTCTATAACGTTAATAACTTGATAATAGGGTAATATAAGAATTTCATATCAAAGAATTAATTCTTCTTGTTTTGTTTCTTTGCTATAGAGAGAATAAGTGATACATAAAACACTGATGTTTCTCGTGGCAGTTAACGTGTTAACATATTCACTTCGGCTGTTGCTCTTAATCCCTTGCACTATGATTTATTTTCCAACTGTGATCGATACAACTTCATCGCTAATAATTAGTGAAAAAAGAGAAAAATTCTATGCATGTTCTATGTCTACGTTTGTCCCACAGTATAATCATTGATAACAGAAGAATAATATCTAATTATAATTCAAAGTAACCGAGTAATATTTATGTTTGTTAAATTCTATTTAAAATCTTCACGAGTCTCACACGTTACTGTAAGGCAAGGGGTTACAGAATAATAGTTTCCGTTTTATAATGAGAAATAATTTTGATATCGTATGACCTTGATTTTGTTGTTAAATAATATTATCAGTTTTTAAGTCTTGCTCGCGAAGAAAGAAGTTACTTATACGAGGTAATGTTTACCAAATGTCCACCAAATTTTGTCTGACACATTTGTTCATATTCTCAATAATTGGAAAAATATCTGACTCGGTAGATGTAAATGGATCACTCTACATATTGTAAGCAAATTTATTTACATACAATTAAGACAACGTACATGGAAAGGCCCATTCTAGAGGTGCAACTCAGATATTCCACCAGAAGCATCAGGTGCAAGCCGTCATTTAAATTTCTCGTTAACCTGTAAAAAGTATAAACGTCGCCATTACTTTCTTTACAGATCAAGATCATTGTTTTACATTGAAAAAATAATAATACAATATGATCGAACGTTTCGTGGCAATTTGGATAAAGTAAACTCGAAAAACTTGAAAAATTGTAAAATCAAACCAACAGCGATTGTTTAACCCTTTGCACTCGAATCTTTTTCTTACTAACATCGCCAACGACTCGAAGTAATTTTAATAGAAAAAGTATATTAACATATAAATAAATGATACGCGCATGAAAGGAAAAGTCATAGATCTATTTTACTGTTTTTTATCGATCGTAGATATGAATGTTACAATATATTTAGCGATAAAATTTTACAGTTTGTAATGACAAATTTCAAGTGGCTCTGCTCCGGAGTCCTCGAGTGCAAAGAGTTAAAAAGTAATTCACCGCAGACATTATTATAAGTATTTGAATAGATACTCGAATCATGTGTAAGTGAGTTGTATTTTTGGGTCCAATAAGAATTTTACGCACTCACTCTGTCAACTTTAAATGTTGCTCGACGACCTTCTTAATATTCACTTGGAAATGATGCGGCGGTTTCGTTGGTACGTTTCGTATGCGGTAAGATAGAATCGAGTATTTCCCGCAGAGGTGTAGACTCAACGAAACTATGAAACTGACACCCGCCATGTGCAGTATCGACACGTACATGGCAGGAGATTCCCACAGAAACATCAGGAAGTAATATCCGGCGTTGTGCGTGTAGTCGAAGAACAAGTAATTTACAAGGGGCGAACGATAGGGCTGCGTCATGTTGTCGTGTCCTGTAACAACATACCTCGATGAATGTAATCCGCGGAATGATTATAAATATCGACACAAAGTGTTACGAAAAGATAATGTGCCTGTTATCGAGAGATATGTTACATCCGTGGAGATCCTGTAACATCATTGATAATGCAGAAAAAATATAATACGAATTTGGCATTTAATATTAACTTAATTAAAATAACGTGATTAACCAGAGAGGTCAAAATTCCCCATTCCTAATTTCCTCTTTTTTCAATTATTAACCCTTTGCACTCGAGAGGCGACTCCCAGTCGCCAGATGATTTGATCCAGCAAAATTATAAATTGTGGTATTTACCATTAATCTTTGTATACTGCATCAGTACGTGAAATATTAAAAGAAAATAGTTTTGTTACCTAATTTATGTATGGTTTCTTGTTACATTCATTTTGAAGAATCTTGTCTATATCTAATTAGAAAGAATAGAATATTTCAAGTGAAAAACTTTCGAGTGCAAAGGGTTAAAAAGATAACCAATGCACGATCTGAATTGTAAATCAATGAAATTCTCGGTGGATGCACTTTTGAAGTTGCTATAGACGAATTTGAAAAAGTCAATTGAACTGCTCAGTACGTTCAGTGTTACGTGGCATTAAGAATGAATGATTTCTGATTAATCGCAGTGCATGTAAGAATATTGTTCGTTATGATAATATACGAACACAATAAATAGTGACCTCTAATACGGTAATTTTAGAATTAACAAATTCACTATTGCCTTGAAGCAATATTTCTTCTTTATAAATGAAATTAATGATTCAAGAATGAACTCGTGACGATGGTTACCTCGAAGATGCGTCAGGACGTGTACCAGCGGACGAAAGAACATCAGTAGAACAATAAGCGTTTGCAGTGTCAAGTAGTATTTGCCGAAATTGTAAGAAATGGCGTTGTATCTCAGATACAACCGCTTCTCGTCGTTGTTCTTGAAAAGCTTGTTGCCCTCTATGTCCCGCTTCATTTCGCTGATCAACGGCGGCAGGTACTTGTTGAACCGGATCAGAAGCGTCAATAAGCACATCGTCAGCATAAAAATGAATTCCATCGTGCTGACGATCAGCAATATTTGCGAGAGCTTTAATAAATATAACAGGGCGCAAATTTCGGTCACCAAATGAAAGCCGACGTACGTCGCAATCGTCTCGGGCAACAACGGGATAAACTTCTCCGGCCACAAACCACCGAAGGCAAACACCTTCCGACTAAACACGAGAGAGTCTCTAACGTCGCCCGGATCGTCGCTCTATAAGCATTCGCGACAAACCATTTTCCTAAGCGTGAAAACCGCCACTACACCCACCGAAGCTCGTTCGTGAAACGTTTGTGCCCGAACGGAAATATGTAAAGACGGTAACAATAATAACAATGTAATGATATCGAAAGAAGATTCAATAAATTATTATGTTTTTTCTCAATTTCAACAGTGCGATGCGCCGCATTTTCCAAGGGTTGCCATTTGAATTTTTCAGGTATTACTGTATTATTCTATGTTAGAGCTGCGATTGTTTTCTTGTCGCAATATGGAAAGACAAGTTTTCGAATTTTTTAAAGAAATACCTGATTCGGGGCTTTGGGTTAATGTTGTTTCGCGATTGCACGGTGACAAACGTTTCACACTGAACGATAGATCACGGACACTCTATCTTACTCTCATCGTGGTGCTCTTTTCGAGGTCTGAAAGCAGACTGCGCCGGCCAGAGGACTATTTTCTGTCCACCCACGCTCAGTCAATCAATTCAATTATCCGCGATAATAGTCGCGAAGAAATGCAACCTTTTTTGCGTGGAAAGTTAGAAGGACAAACGGAGAACCGCAAAGCTTCTGCCGGCGGAACCAATTATTTTGCTTTGTTCCCCCATGTAGCCTCAGAGCTTTACCTTCGATTCGGATTACCAGTTCCTCTAGTATACACGAACAGTACGCTGTGCTTATAAATAATTGCTCGCCGCCGGTGTGCACGTGATTATTTTTAATAGCGCCGCTGCCAAACGAACGCGTACATAGATCGATGAAAAAATTGGGAATAAAGGAACATGTAATCATGGCACGGAAAACTTAATTGTAGTGTCGGTTTTCCATCCGTTGTGTAACGGTGATCGTGAAACTCTAACTTTTGAAGAACGACAGTGCTGCGTTAAGAATGAGAATCATTTTTGCATCGTGTATCTTTCTCTTGTGAATGAATAAAATTCTGCATTTTCTATTATAGTTGAGTGTTCGTGAATTGTGCAGGCATTACAGAATGTTATTCGAACGATTCATACCGCGAATTTGTCAGTGCAATAAGTATGCGTCCGTTCTTCGTGTCGACATTGGGACAGTTCGCTTTTTTCGAAAAATTATCGGTGCAGAGCAGCAAGGAAACACTTTCATTCGCCGTGTAATTCGAGTAGACACTCGGAAGTGTTCTCGATGTGGATTTAAGCGAAAATTATGTGTCTTTTAGTTTATTTGTTATTCTGAAACCGCGGAAGGTGCACTTGGTGTTTCCTTCGTCGATTTCGATGTGAGCTTTTAGGTTTGAAACATGGAAATAACTAGTGTCGCGTGTGTTTCAGTGCTGATATTTCAAACTTGGAGTGCTGTTGGGTGGAATCGAACGAATTGCGAGTGAAAATTATTGAAAAAATAGAAGTCTTGAGTGAAACGCGCTATTTTAGTCTGACCGCTGAAACTGCCTTCCCCGAAACAGGATGGCTTGTTTTCAACGTTGTTTTCGTTTTTACAACGGTTCTACGGAAAACTTTTTGAATTATTCACAGAATTATGTGAAAATCAGTTATGAATTATTGACTTATACTTCGTATAAGTCAATCTCATTATATCCTTCGGTATTCTTTCGGTTTAACACGTTGAATGCCGCACGATTTCACGTAGCAAAATGCGCGAAATGAAAACAATGTAATATCAAATTATTTGTTGAATAATTATAATTATTCGGCATTATACGGCATTCAACGTGTTAATGCTGAGACTACCGAGCATTTGTTGGGGTTGATGCATAATCCTTACAAACATTGGAACAATACATTCTTCGATTTCTTCAGACATTCGTCGCAGTTTTTAAGTGAAACTATTTATTTCCAAGCCCGTTTCGAATACTGAATGCTTTGAAAGTATCAGCAATTATACAATAAGGAAACTAAACCCCGCCATTCTGACGGGCACGGTAGTTCCGGACTTAAAGCCGCGGAATTTGATGATAATTCGTCGAAGACAGAATACTTCGTCCTGTTCCGGATTTCTACAGATCTGACGGTGAGTCACTAGCTGCTGGCTTGTAGCATGGACAGAAACCCCACCGAGAATTTCACGATCTGTTCCGAGAAATGATCACGCATGATACAGAAGTTTCAGGGCTTCTAGTTTCTATCCATCGATAGACATCGAGTGTACTGGAAAGACTTTTCGCATTTTAAACGCATCCATTTCGACGAATCGAATCTAAATTAAAAAGTTCTTGCGAACGGGCAGTAAAGAAGTTGGCTCAGAGACTAGAAAATGCGATAGAAAATGTCGGGCAATTTATTATCGATTAAATACCAGCAATCACACACTTTTCATCTTTTACTTACTATTATTTTATTGTTTCATTTCCTTGCGATTTTACTTTCGCGCCAGGTTTTTTAACACGTTAAATGCCGTGGGGGTCACCGGTGACCCCCAACCAAATCGAATTACTATAATTCATTCAATTAAACGTTGATTATTTGTAAACATTTCTATATTATAATAATACTACATAATTCAGTGACATTCAGCTAAATGAACATGTAATAATAATAATAATGCAATTCAATGAAATGATTTGATATTATATTTTTTTCCATTTTGAGTATTTTGCTCCATCGAGCGGCTTTCAACGTGTTAATAACAGCCGTTCCGGTACTCCCGATATAATTACAGCTAAACAATGCAGTTATTCGCGTCAGCAAGTATATAATATTCAACAGCCATACTCACGTTTGTGAAGCCGAACAGGGAGAACTTGTAGAACTTTCCAGCCGTCAGGTACATCGTCTGTTGTCCATTCATCATGCACATTAGCAGAGTCTTTCTGTCTTTGTTCGTCACGTTCGCCCACTCGATAGCGCAGAGAGATTCGCCAACTTTCTGCGACTAAATCTCAAGATTACTACGACGCCGTTGAATGCTATCGAAAAAAATTGAAAGTTCGTTGAACCGTTTGAGTCCCAAGCGGCGCGATGGCGCTTCTCTGTTACGCCGCGTAAAAATGGCGGTCTACTGGTTCGTAGAATCAGACGAAGCTTATTTATTTCTTTTCCCTCTAATCATTCATTTTTATTTTTGTTATTACTCGCCTAAGACTGGAAAAATCTAACGATCGCACTATTTGAAATTTGTTTTTGTAAAAATAGAAAAGCGTCGTTCAGTTTCTAAATTGAAACGAAAGAAGCTCGATTGCACCGTTTGGCATTTTTCGACCGGGTTTTCGCAGAAACTCGTGGGACTCGAACGGTTGACACATTGAATATCGCAAAATTTAGCAGAGGGAAGTATGCAAAGTGAAAAGAACGTAGTATCAACTTATGTAATTGAATTACGTTGTTATCATTGCAGGTTTATCTTGTCAAATGTCACTGCATTAGGTGGTATTACTTATAATATAGAAAATTTTTCAAATAATCATAGTTTAATCGAATGAATTGTACTAATTCGATTTGGTTGAGGTCACCGGTGACCCCCATGGCATCCAACGTGTTAAGTATGTGGCGAAACTTCCTTATTAGCCTGATATAGACATCTCATTCTTTGTGCCAATGCCTATGTATTTCTCTAATATTCTCGTGATTATATCGCAAGGGGTTAATATCTCATTAATTTCGTTTTGTTACAGACACGCGTGCGAAATTTTCGGTCGGAAGACAAATATTTCGCTTTCGTCCTATTGTTCGTTCAAATTGGAGGAAGATCTTACTGCGACATACAGTGAGTCACAATATTCCACTGAATACGCACCTCGAAAACCAGTTGCTCGCCGACGTACGAGTACAAAAATAGGAAGTTTATCATGTCCGCTGCATACATACAAAAAGCAGCAACAGCCATCGGATCTGTCGGGAGTGTCTATAAAGTGTAAAGAACAATCACGTGAATTCGTACGCTGTTTGCTCATCGATAGACGCGTATCAGTAATTAATATTTGCTTTCTTATGAATCGGCAAGGAGAAGCATTCGTTCAAAATTTGGATCAAACAATTTTTAACGACAGCAATGTGATTTTTCATACGAGAAACCTGTTTCTTCTCGATTCAGTTAGATATATTAATTATCGGTGCTACACGATTTGATAAATAAATATCGCTGATCGCTTATAATTGTCGCAGTTGGCAATTTCGTGTTTTCCTCTTTCACGGTAATATCTATACGTTCTCGGAGCGATGTCAATTACATACGGTTAAAGCAACATACATGGAAAGGCTCAGTCTGAAGGTACAGCCCATGTAGTCTACCAAGAGGAGCAAATAGAAAGAGTCGTTCAAAATTTGCGATAACCTGCAACACATCGAATGGTAGTCGTGACGGTTATTATTAAAAAATATATTCCTTTCTAGCGTCGAATGTCACAGGAAAGAATTCCGAGGATTTTACGATTTGTAATTTTATTGATTTTGTAATTTCTTCTTATACTTTTCCTTCGATCGAAGATTCCCAGCTGGATCGAAGGAAAATCAATATCTCTAAAATCGAGCGGTCAATTATCATTTCAAGTGACATTTCTTCGCAAAGAACATATAAAACTTCAATTAATCTTAATTTAAGATACATTCCTCGTTATCATTAATAATTACTGCCTAAATTTCCCAAAAGAATTCATTTATGATTCGACTCAATAAAATATTAATATACTGCACAATCTTAATGGGTTATTGAAAAATTCCGTGCGCACTCACTTTATCAATCCCAAATGTTGCTTCACTATTCCCTTCATGTTCTTTTGGAAAAGGTCCGACGGTTTCGTGGGTATGTTACGTATTCGGTAGCTCAGCATCGAGAGCTTGCCGCAGAGATGTAATGTCATCGTGATAATGATACTGACTTCGGCTATATGGAACACTATCACGTATAGAAGTGGAAACTGGTACAGGTACAACAGGCAGTAGAGTCCGGTGTTGTACTGATAGTCTAATAGAATATGAGCCGAAACGGCTAGCTTGTAAGGATGCGTCGAGTTGCTTCCTAGAATATTGCATGCGAAATCATAATCGCGTACGATAATATAATAGATTTACGGTTTACGAATAGATTATTCTCCCTCTAAACGAAGACATCTTTTAGTAGATACTAAGCGCGTATTCAATAATTGTTTCGCGAAACTGCCACGAACTGTGATTGATTACCGTACGATATTATCCCCTTTGAATAAATTAATGAACGCGACGCGCGTAACGTGAGAGACGTACTGAAAACCTATTACTCATTATTAATTAACACATTGCACGCTGGCCCCGCGATAATGCGGGATTCTTAGTCTATCGTTTAATTGCTAATCCTACGTTCATGTAACATTTTATATGTGTATAACACAAATCCAAAGTAAAATCACAAGATCGAATTCCTTATTCTTTTTCGTAAGTTAGAAATTTCGGCTTGATGTTTAAAAATGTATCAGTATAATCACCGACGCTCGCGTTTTTACCAGCGTGCAATGTGTTAAGATGATATTTCGCAAATACTAGAAACCGTTGCTACTGAAATTCTACAGCAAGAACTCTCAAATATCGGAAGAAAAGGAAACGACGTACCCACCGATCTCTCGTATTTTATCGATTGTACTTTATCTTCATCGCAGAAAATAAGGTCGCTTTCGAATTCGAGGCGATGTCGATTACCTGAGAGAACGTGGCCGAGCAACTCCATCAGCGGGAGGAAGAATACCAGAGCAGCGACCACTAACTGTGAAAGCACCCCGTATTTGCAGAATTTATGATAAATGTTGTAGTATCTGTGATAGAGCCTCCTTTCGTCTACGTTTCGGCAGAACTTCCGGTCGCTGATCTCCTCCTTGATCCCGTCGACCAACAGCTTTAGATTCTTGTTGAAAAAGACGAGAACCATCGACACCGTCATCGTCAAGAACAGCGTCCATTCCAGCATGTTCACGACCAGCACCGGTAAGTTGCCGACAATGTAGACCGCGTCCCACACACATAACACGATCTGCACGGACAGGTACACCACCGCCAAGGCAAAATACGCGGGGACGCGTTTTAGCGGCCACAGGCCGGCCAGCGAGAACGCCCATTTACTGAATACTAGGCTGTCTTTTATTTCCAGCGATTCGCCGCTCTACAAAACAGTTCTCTCGACAACAGGCCATTTGCCACGCGAAGCTTGCCACCCGTCTAACAGCGCGACGCCTGTCCAATGCCCGACTAGCGTTGTAGGAGACCGTAGTCTTCGAAGCTAAGAGGCTCGATCTTCAAGGTTGACACTCGGAGAACTAGAGTACTGGGAAGCTAGAGCAGGGGTGGCCAAATCGTGGCACACGCGTCAAACGTGGCGCATTGCATTCTAGCGCCAACTTATTCTTTTTGTAAGAAAATGTGCAACGTTGTGTATTCGAGGCAGGGAACTGCTCTACGATGCTTGTTTTTGAACGAACGACGAAAAGAAAGGAAGGTGCAGAGGCAGTTGGTGAAGAGCGCTTGTATAGAGACGAACTTTGTGTTGAAATAAATTCTTATTGATCAAATAAATCCTTATATTTTTAACGCCTTGACCTACAATAACGTGCCAGACTCGTGACGAAAATTTTAAACTGAATTCGAGAAATCTGAGTGTTATTCGTTTTCTTTAAATGTAAATTAAACGTCATTTTTCTATTATCAATTGTTAATCTTTGGACTAAACCTAGAAGTAGAATAAACGTAAAGATTCTTTCTTCTTCTAATGAATGATTCATGATAAAGTACTTATATCGATCATAGTTAAGAATTGAATCATAGGGCAAGGGGTTAAGTGCTTCTAAGTATGCAAAATGTTGGCCACCCCTGAGCTAGAGTCTTCAAAGCTACAAGGCTGAACCTTAGCCCTTAACACTCCAGATGATTTTGTAATCTACCAACAACTCCAAACCGTTTTTATAGTATCCCTAGCACAAATGAAAAATGTTATATTGTAACGTCTCTTAGATTTCTTCATTTTCCTTTTGAACACAAAATTTGTATGTATAGAAGATCCAGTAATTTTAGGGTAGTTCTAAATTCATTCATTGAAATATTTAATAGTATAAATTATGTCATAATGGAGCCTACAGAATGCAAAGGGTTAACACGTTGACTGCCACGAACAACTTCAGAGTTTTACGTATCGATTTTTCTATTGTAGCAAGGATAGAAAGGAACGATCACTTCTTTTTTGGCATTGCAATCATTAGGTTACATTATTACCTATTTATGTACGCTATTGAACATTGTCATTCGACGTCAGTTGTCTGACGAATTATAATTGCTTTCAAGTAATTTGGAAGCTCCGGTCATCGGTGACCACCGTGGCAGTCAACGTGTTAACTTGCGGTAGCAACGAATTTAAACAATCAGCAGGATCTCGCGCTCCTGGAATAATACTAATCTCGTTTATCGATATTTTCGTACTAAATCGTAGATTTCAAAACAATCTGGAATAGGTAATCCAGTAAGACTAATGGGCGTATACAGTGTGTCGTTGGTAATTTTTGAACAAGAACATCACGACGTGCGCGGCAAGTCTTCCTAGCGCAAGTGGTTGCAGGCTACGCCTACGAAACTTCGACATTCAATCTCGATGATTCTCTGTTCGTTCATTTGCAAGTGTAAACAATGTGAATATACACTGGTCTGATGCCAAGCAGTCGTTGCGCTGTTAGACGGGCAATCATCTTAAGGTGCGACGATAACGTCGCAGTCGCTGTGCATAGGGCGAATTGGAAAGATTTTACGATTAAAATGGAAAATAGATTTCAGTGATGACGCGTCTATTCTCGCGAGGGTTAACAATTTCAGCTTCAACGGAGATTTGACTTATTCCTGGCTATAGAATCTCCATTTCCATTATTCGCGTTACGATTCGCAGTTCATCCTGATCGAAACGCTTGTTCTTGAACGTTCGGAAAATTATGTTCGTACTTTGACGTGCGTCAGTGTCATTGGAGATTATTCTGTTACTCGCAACAATTTCTAAGAAAACCACTGATCACCGGAAATCCTCGAGTTTTTCTCGAGAACGGGAAATTCGTTTCTCGTCGGAGAGCAAAGATTGGAAAGTAGCACTGATCCCGCTTACGTAAACGAAAACGAAATCTAACGTAAACAAAGGTTTCACAGCGATCAGCGTATCGCCGTGGCACTACGCTCGTCTTACTGTCATCGTGCGATTCCGTGTTCTCAGAGTTCAAGACCAATACTGTCGCAGATTGCCAAGTATTATCCATTTCGTTCGAATATCGACCCATATAATTATCGCAATAATTGCACGGAGGAAGAAATGCAGACCAAAATGGGCGGACGTACCTTACAGGCAAGTCGGTTTGATTGCAGTATAGAGACTGCCAGGTAATCTCTTTTTGAATAATGTCGCAACTTCTTCGCTTATGAATAATTTTCAGTCGGTGAATAGCGTTCTACGATTACCCTTAATAGAGAGGTTTCTCGGTGACCACACAAATATCGGTTGGGGATAAGAAAAGATCGATCATTCGGCCGGGAATCGGTGTTCCATAGAATCAACGACCTCTGCGCCTCGGTTCCTTTGATCTTTTCCCGTTTCAAAGGGAATTGGAAAGCAATTATTCATCTACACGGGCATTTGAGTAAAATTGTAGTTGAAGGATGTGACGAGTTTCACATTGTATATCGTCGTAGTCCAGTTTCCGCTGTCACTGGGCTTTCATTTGTCAGTTGTGCGCGGAGGTTCCTAATTCTTAATTGCTCCGCATGATCGACGGTAAAACATTGAGAATTTTGTAAGTGTTCTTTCATTACCTTTCAATTGGATGTAATAGAATGCGAGCGACTTACGGTGAATAATTACCATATTTTGTTATAACTGTTATTAGTTGCCACCGTTAGCTGGAGATTACTTGATTGCTGGGCGTAGAAATTCGGCTCCTTGATCAGTTTTCATCTTTTCTGACTGAATGTTCTGTTAGTTTTGTATTCCAATTCCTGATACGTTCTATCGCTAATTTACTGTTCCTCGATACGGTTACAAATAATCAATCAGAACTGTACAACTGTAAACTAGGCATCTCCTAACCGTACACGTTCAAATTTAAATACGCATGGCGTTAAGAATAAGTATGTCTACGACCAGTTGCTAGTTTGTAGAGAAACAAAGCTTCTTTGAAAAACGATGTTACAATTCAGAAGAAATCATTGATAAAAACTCGAAAGATAAACATGTAACTTTATAGTTATAAAACTTATATTATACGTGATCTGCAGTTATTCTGTAATTATTTCGTGCACGCGAATGGAGATGTGAACGAACGTAATTTTTAATTAATAGTTACCAAGTGTTGTTGAGACTTTTACTGTCCCTGTCAGAAGACTTCAAGAACGTAGATTATCTCGAAATTTTCACTATAAGTAGTCCAGGTCGAAGAAAGGGATAAAAGAATCGAGAATACGTCGATGATTATTCTATTTATAAATTACAGAGTGTTCAAAATAATATTTCGTTGCAGATCTGTTATGTCCTCTTGAGATAGATTTATTCCATTCGAGCTTGAAGCATAGATATAAATCCCATAGAAAATTTCATCATCTGCACACGAGAAATACACGATGCAAAAGTTTACGTTTTCCGTTGATGATTTTAGTATTTTAACCCTTTGCACTCGGCACAGAAGAATTAGTATTAAACTTAGTATTAGTATTAAACTTAGTATTAAATATTATACTTCATAAGTCCCGTGCGATTCATTAATGCATGAAATATTCAAATAAAACCGCCTCTTTCTTTAATTTATGCACGATTTCTCGTCAAATTAGTTTCAAGAAATCTTGACTATATTTCATCAGAAAGTCTGTTGCGTATTTTTTGGTAGAGAACTCTCGCAGAGCAAAGGGTTAACATTGATGCAAAGACATTGCGTGTTCTACATTTTTATACTTTATATAACTGTATAATAATCCATTCTCCAATTCGCACAGGTTGCGTCTCAGTTCTTTTTTTATGGATCGCTCACGTGAATACGAACAAAATTACACGTACGTCAGTAAATCCAAACAGTGAGAATTTGTAGAATTTTCCAGCCGTCAGGTATTCCGTTCGTTGCCCGTTTACCAGACACGTCAGTAAAGTTCTTCTGTCTTTGTTCATTACTTCCGGCCATTCGGTATCGTAGAGTGCAGCGGCCAGATCCTCTGACTGAACATTATTTATTTATCATAACGTCGTTGTCAAAGGAAAACACGTATCACTGTTTCGTTAATATAATGTCTGTCATTCTAGATGAAAGAAGAGCGACATACGATGCTGATCGATTTTACGGTATCGTTCTTTCAAGTGATAAACGTTGAATATATATGCACGGCGAGTAGTGAGTGACGTTCGTATTCTCATTTCCATTGAATACAAACCTCGTAAACAAATTGTTCGCCAACGTACGAATATAGATACAACAAAGCAGCCAGATTCACGGCGTACATAGTGAAATTAATAGCTGCCACTGAATCGGTTCGAAGATTCTGCGAAATACATGAAATACAAATTTTTGTGAATTCGTCCACTGTACTTTTCTATAGAGTTTCTCGTTAAGATATTCATTTTCGGCTATAACCTCTAAAGAATTATAGTTCCCGGTTAACAATTAGAAACAATGTTCACATTCTAGGCCTTGTTTCTTGCGAATTAATCAGATTCTGTATCTTTAAGCCTAGTTCTCGTAAATCGTGCGGTCGTTGACACTGAAACCACCGAGGGTTTATCACAACGATTGATAACAATACGTTTTTCAATGATTTCTTCAGATACTCGTTATACTATTCAGACGTAGCTATTTATTTTCAAAATTATGGCTATTGAATGCCCTTAACCCTTTGCTCCCCGAATTTCTTTTGCATTTTTCTCTTAATAACTCGGTATTATTGTAATGTTTGGTCTGAAATGCATTTTGAAAAATGGCTCGTTTGTAGAAAGCAGTATAAACAATCCTTTTTACTAATAATATTGAAAATAATAATAATATACACTTGTGAATAAAACATGTCGAGTCACACACACACAGGAGCGCAAAGGGTTAACATACCAATAGTTGCAGAATAAAAAGATTAAAGGCCGTCATTTTTACCGATACGGTGTTTCGAGTGTCAAAGAATATTGCTAATGCCGGAAATTGATTAATTCAATGACCACTATCCGTTCCTTTTTCGTTTCATACAAATACGATAAGAATTTTTTATTGTGTACTATTATCATACATTGCACATGTTTACGTGTGTATACACATATATATACACTCATATTTTGAGCAAATTTATTTACATACAATTAAGACAATGTACATGCAAAGGCCCATTCTTAAAGTGCAGCTCAGGTATTCCACTAAGAGTATCAAGTAAAAACATTGATTTAAATTTTTCGTCAACCTGTTAAACATATGAACGTCACTGTGAGATTTCTTTGGAAATATTCAGTTTTACATATTGGAAAGACACTGATGCATCGTAATCGAATGTTTCGTAACGATTCGTATAAGGCATGCTCGCTGGAACAATTGTAAAAAGTGCACGAGCAACACTTACATCGTCAGCTTCAAATGTTGTTGCACCAGGCTCTTGATGTTCTCTTGAAAACGATCGGCCGGTTTGGCTGGCACGGTTCGTATGCGGTAAGACAAAATCGAGAATTTCCCGCATAGGTGTAGGCTCAATGTAACTATCAAACTGACTTCCGCTATGTGCACCAACGGCATGTACAAGGTAGGAGTTTCCCAGAGGTACAGCAGAACGTAGACTCCAGCGTCGTACTCGTAATCGAAAAACATGTGATTTATGTAAGGCATTTCGTAAGGAACCGTCCCGTTGCCGTGTTCTGCGAGGATACAGCACAAATCATCAGATCTATGTATTTTCATTCAATTATAATCGGAAACATGAACGTAGGTATTAGGGGAAGGAAATTTTAGCGTTATAAAGCAGAATGTTACAGTTTCGCAAATCTCCGATCATCTTTGATCATCCATGGATTTCATATTTACTGTCAACATCATTGAACTAACGTAATTGAAATAACACGATAACATGAAATACATTACGTTCAATTGAGAGCCATTAAAAACGTATGATTTATAATTAATCGCGGCGCTCGTTACTGTAATGACATTCAGAAGCAGGAGATACCTACAGTGATTTATAGCAGGTCAATTTTAATATCAATAAATTCACTTTATATTCAAATGACGTGTATCATTACTGAATAGTACCGAGGGTACTGTTAAACCGTATTGATGGTTACACTGTGCAACAAACTTGTGTATTCACATATTACTGTGACACACATAAATACTGTGTATTCACATATTAAATACCAAATTATTTGGAACAGAACGATCGTGAAAAGCTTTCTCATAATTGTTATGAAAATTTATATAACAATTAAACATTACATATACTTGACTAGCCGTGATCGGCAACCGATGCTCTTCACGCAGATTTTCCTACCCTGCCCGAAAGGAAAACCGTCCTTACGCTTTCCGCGGAGGTTTCCTCTTCAGAAATGTCTGCAGAATCCAATAGTGCATAGCAAATTCATGCTAGCTAACGCACTTTTCGTAGAAATGTAACAGAAGTGCGTACAAAGTAAAGAAATTTGAAACCCTGATCATCATTTAGAAGCATTTAATGATACGCAATATTCGAAATCTCTATAGCTACATATTCAGGCATCTCTCCATTATTTCTACGACAACTCTGAACCGCCTATCGTTTTCAGTTTTCACGTAACACTTGTTTCTGTAAAGAATTCGACCGTTTTCACAAAAACCCATGTTCTTCGACAACTGGACGTGAACCAGCGATTTCTTTTTCCGATTCTTATTTAGGACGAGAAACTCGGTAGGAATTACCTAGTGGCTATTACAAAAGAAACATCGTGTTGAACAGTGTTACCTGCAAAAGAACGGCCGAGCAAGTGGATCAGCGGCCGAAAGAAGATCAGGGAAACAAGGCCGCATTGCAACATCAACGAGTATTTGCCGAAATTGTATGAAATTGCGTTGTATCGCAGATACAGATGTTTCTCGGTGTTATTCTTAAAGATCTTCTCCTCTTCCATCTCTCGCCTCATGTTGTCGATCAACGGTTTCAGATGATTGTTGAACCGGATCAGAATGAACAGCAGAAACATCGTGAACATGAAAACGAACTCCAGCGAGCACATGATCAGCGCTATCGCGGTACGGTCGGGCAACTCCACCAAGGCCCAGATTTCGGTCACCAAATGGAACGCGATGTAAACCACTAATGTCTCTGGTATCAGCGGCATGTACTTATCCGGCCACAAACCACCTAACGAAAATATTCGTCGACTAAAGACGAGAGCGTCTCTTACATCCGTTGAATCGTCGTTCTAGAAACATTTCCGACAAACGATTTTTCCAAGCGTGAAACAGTATACGCGCGACTACCACCACCGAAACTTGCCCGTGAAACGTTTGTATCCGAACGCAAATGATTAAGAATACTGATAAGCTAATAATGTGGCAATAATAACGATAAGAATGATGTAATAATGGTATAATAGTGTAACAGCGGTAACCAGTAATTTGTATACTATCTTTATCGTGTTCAGTTCGCTTAAAGGTCCCTCCGCCATGGCGTTTAGTGATACATTTAAAAGTAAACTTTACAAACGGTTCGCTGTTATCTTATGCAAAGGCAAGACGGAGCAATGTAATATTCTCGTCGTGCAATGGAAAGAAAAGTTCCCGAATTTCTAAAAGGCATGGCTAAGTTTAAACAATATTATCCCGCGATCTCACGGAAGCAAACGTTTCACGCGGGACAACAGGTCGCGGGACATTCCGTTCGTCTTACTGGCATCGTGATGCTCTTTTCGAGATCCGAAAGCGCACTGTGCCGGCAGCAAGGCTATTTTCTATCGAGCCGCGCGCAGTCAATAAATGCAATTATTGTGGGTAATTGCAACGCCGGGAAAACGTAACTTTACCTATCCGACTATGTAAAACCATAGCGAATCTCTCAGCGAATCCAATTATTTTTAATGGTTGCCCGCGTAACTCGATCCAACTTCGATGCAACTTGTTCGTGCACGATTGAAAAGTTCAGGATAAAGGGGAGCGCGCAATTATTGTACGAGGAACATAGTTGCAGTGGAACCTTACTATCTTTTGTACCGTCGTGATTGCAGAATTGAATCGACGATCGAATCCCTTTCCATTTAGAGAGCGTTTAGTAACGTTGCGACCGGGAACATGGTGTCTTCGGGATTGTCAGCTGCACGTACCGTCCATTGCAGCGAACCTGGCACTCTCGTCTGAGTGGTCAGATTCGAAGGCGCACGCCTTCCCCTCGTGAATCTTCGATCCTGGTGCACGATTGGCTGAGGCGCTCAAGCATAGTAATCGGATCCCTCGACAAAAAGTGGAGAGAGTCGTTCCTTGACTCACAATGGGATTTCTCGGAGCGACTGTTTCCACCATGACGTTACGAGTGCCAGATTCCCAGCAACTGACGATACTCGCTCGCATCGAAAGTCTCGCCACGCCGAAAACAATGGAAAAAGCACACGGCGAGTTAACGGTTCATTGAAATATAAAGTTTATTCAGATATATACACTTTGTCACTTCTATCACTGTTCGTCACTTCCGGCCAGTCGATATTGCACAATGCGCCCGCTACGTTCTGTGACTGGATATTAATTATTCGAAGGAAACGTATGTTGGTGTTCGAATAACAAAATTTTTCTTGTTCCAGATGAAAACCGAAGAATCTGCGATGTTCATTTGTTTATTCTATCGCTCTTTCAACTGATCCACGTCATTCATATTTAAGTACGAATATTCTATTCTTATTTCTATGGGATACCAACCTCGGAAACAAACTGTTCACCAATAAACGAATACAAGTATGAAAAGCTCGTCAAGTTGACACAGTACATGATAAAGGCGACCGGGCTACCGTAGTGAAGTGTCTGCGAAGTACGTAGTATAAATATTTCTGTAGATTTAAATATTGCAATTAAAATATTTATCTAATCCGGTAAAATAACTTTTAAGGTGTTACAGTCCACTATTAATACTGAGTAAAATAATCTTGTTGTACTTGACAAGAAATCGCACGTAAATTGAGAAACAAAACAATTTCCAATATTTCTCGACGCGTTATACGAACTTTTATATCAATAAATATCGAGCTGTACAGTTTGCTGTGTCAAATTAATTGGCGACTCAGGTGCCTCTAGGGTGCAAAGGGTTAATCGTCCTCAAGTAAACCTTCGTATGTCTGTAATTGGTCACCGACCACATCTGCACAAGTGCGTCCAGCAAACACAACAACATAATTGTATGCCCATAAAATTTATTTAGCACATGATTCATAATTATTTTATACGTATTGCGTGGATTTGAATTCGCGTCAGAATAATTCCCTATCCTTCTAACTCACTTCGTCGTATTCCGTTTCATTGGTGATCTTCGTTTACGCGAATCGATTAATAACAAAAACGCTCATCAATGATCATTAGCGGAAAATTTCTATGCCACCTATACTTAAATGCATTGGCACATTATTGTTCATACGTTCTTTCGCATGTCCTACGATCTGAAAGGGCAAGTGCGACAAAGGAACATAGCCACTGGCTGAAATAATATATATAGTAATTTTATACATCAATTAATACATCAAATAATGAATCATTATTTAATGCATCAATTACATGACTATAAAAGAATGCTTTACGGTGAAATGTAGCTGTTAGATAAAACGGACTGAAGAAATGGAGATTGCCTCATGTTTACCGATTCTTATTATTTTCATTGAGTATTTATGTATTATGTTAATGTAAAATCATGTAAAGTTTATTTATAAATGTGTTATATCGGTTGAGTTATTTCACTTTTATTTGTAAAGGACATTTGGAAACATCTACTCTTTTTACGCAATCGGTATTTCAGATTATCGGACGCGAAGTTGTATAAGATGTCTATCCTGTCTCTCGTCGGTGGATGAGAGTATCCTGTGTAGATAACATCTCAGTCGGTATTTTCATACTGCTCAAAATCATGTCCCCATCTGTCGAAGTTTTCCAAATGTCGTCGCAGATTTTAAATTTTGTGAGTGTGTCATCATAGACCGGTTGGTAAAATAGTGTTTGACCTATAATTGATAACGGAATGTTAATTTACAACTACAAAATATGAATGATTAATATATAAACTATATAATATAAGTAGTTATCAAATGTTTCATTTATTCTTACATCTGCTTAGCGTTCTGCTTTGTCACGGTAACATCCATTATCGATTCTATACAGTTTCACAGCTTTGGGAGCTATAGAAACGTGAAGGCATTGTACTCTCGTCGTTTTATGCAATTCTGATCATAAATATTGCAATGTTTTTAACGCGGAAGAATCTGTAGTTTGTACTGAGAATTCTGAATTTTCGTTAGTGTATTATAGGGAGAAGTTAACTTGAAGATATGGAGAAGAAATTCAAAAAACGAGGTTACTACTCTGAAATAGTTACAGGTAAGGATATCCCGTATTTACATTTATTTTCTGTGGAAGATGTAGTGCATTACTTTTATTCATGTAGAATAAAACAGTCAGAAATAAAATAACTGGCCTATAGATCTTCTGATTTTCCATTAATCACTTTATTTGTATCGGAAACGACTAAACAATATATAGGTACAACGGAACATCCCGTGAAGCCTGAAGTGGTCCTGTCAAATATCGCACCCAAGAGAACAAAACTTGCCTGGCAAGTGCTCACGGAACACCACAGTGCTAGAATATCGCAATTAAACGTTCAGACGGCGTACCAATGTCTCGGGGAAGCCAAAAGATGGATGAGCTTCGACGAAGATCGGTCAATTGTTAGTGAAGATAGTATATTATTTTCAAATGCACATTTACATTTTGCTTGAACTATCAACACGATATACATTAGTTTCCTTTTAAAGAAGCTTGAATACATTCGAAGCGATACGCAACATTATCCTGTAGTTTATCGCGATCAAATGTGTTACAGTCGAAGACTACTAACCAATAAATAATCGTTAATACGTATACAGTAACATTTCTCTTTTCTACGGGTGCAAGAAAGAGAACAAATTCCTGTGTTTCATCAAAATGCGCGAGATCGTTTCGTACTTTTCTCCTTCCGGTTTGTGGTTACGTGCCGCATTGTCGCGCGGAGGGTCTGAAAGTCTCGATTTTTCCTTGAGCAAGGCGTTTCCGGCAGAAACATTCACCCCGAAGGTGCAAATGGAACTGAACGTGGAGCCGAAGCGATTGCCGAGGAACGTGGAAATGGAGAGGAGAAGGAAACTGTACCGAAGCTTACGGATCGAGGACGCTTTGGAAGCGATAGGAGTAACGTCCAGCGAAATAACGCCTCCGTCCGCCATCTTGTCGCTGCTGCCGCGCGACGAGATCTACGGCTTATTCAGTACGGCTCACGTGTTGCCGATCGAATTTTTCGATGACGATGAATACGATTGCAGGTATGTGGAGCATGGAAACGTTTAACACTTGGTTTAAAGAACCCGTCAATTTGACGGTTATTGAATTTTACAAAGATATAATTCTCTAAATCTTTACAGTACCTATCAGATCCCTGATCTCCAAAATCTAAATAAACGTACATCAATTTTTGTAGAAACGATAAAATAAACTGTACAATAAATGCTCGTAAACCTAGTGTTAAATGACGAATACTCGTGTATTGTTCGTGACTTATTAAATGCATGCGTATTTTCACTTCAACGCAGCGACTGAACTTTTAATAAATTCAATTCCCATTGTGGGGGAAAACGAAGAAATGATTCGCTTCTATGAGATTTGTTTTTTCAATTGATTTTTATGCACCGACTGAGGGCTTCATTCTATCTGGTATTACTTCCTATTTACATAGCATAATTTACCGTTTTACTTCTTTCTTGCAAAATATACTGTATAAATAAGGAGATAAATGGAGACAGGAATGAAAGAAATACTGAAGCGTTCGAAAGATAAATGTATCCTTCCATTTCCCTGAAAATCGTGGAATAGCGAGATGAAATCATTGATGAAAATGTATTACGATATTGATTACCGGCGATGCAGAACGATCGAAGAATGGTTGAACCTCGGTACCATTAACGGGAAACGGTCCCCGTTACCGGCCACCGTGTTCGTTCCACGGTTTCAAGAAGACGACCGGAAGTTCGACAAAGCCGACCACATGCTAGAAAATTTGTTCTCTTGGTATAACGCGGCTGTGACGGGATATGATTACCACACGAAACTATGGTCGGTGATCACGCTGGATGGGAAGAAGCGGAAGTACTCGATACCGAGGATCTACATTCGATTCTACGCGGAGGACCCCAGGATCTTCGCGAAAAGAATGGCCGCGGCCATCGAGAGCAGAAGAATCGCGGAAGCGTCTATAAAGTTGTCTCATCTACTTTGTTTCAACGCTGGAGCTACCAAAACTAATTGACATTGAAGTCACCTTGACGTTTAATTCATTTAATTTTTTTGCGGAAATTATAAGAGTACGTTGACTGAGATATTTATTTAGTAATTTTTCGAATCACCCCTGTTTCTTTAATAATTACGAATGAAGGCATCAAGGATAGATCGTTTTTACGTGTTTGGTAGTTCTAGTTCGAATTTTCCCGCTGCACGTGTTCTCATTTCCTTCACTTTATGGGGTTTCCGTGTAGATACAACTTTTATTTGGACTGCATGAAATTGGATGGCATACAGACTTTAAGCGAGACACGGAAAGACGCCATCGTTCGGTTCTGCGTAATTAGCAATATGAAGCTCAGTGGGAAAATCGTGTCGGCGGTATGTAGCACCTGTTCTACCGATTTAAAAAATCACTGTTTTCTTTGTTTCATTACTTGAAACAACATCGACCGACAAAATTTTAGATGGTATTCATGAGCTTTAGCAGTAACAATGATCCTTTCCCTTTCTCAAAGGAAATTAGACTGCCATTATGAATTATCAATACACAATCTTCCTAATTTAATATCTACATTAACCCCTAGCCTTACAATAACGTGTCAGACACGTAGTGTAGATTTTAAACAGAATTGAACAAGCACGATCATTACTCGATCCTTTCGAATTCAAATTTAATATTATTCTTCTATTATCAATTATTATATTTTGGATCAAAAATTCATATGGAATATGCCTTTAACCCTTAGCACTCCAGGTTGTTTTTTAATCTGTCAGCAACTGCAACTAATTTTTATGGTATCCCTAGCGAAAATTAGAAATGCTATAACATTCCTTCGATCTTTTATTTTCCTTCTTAGTACAACATTTGGATGTGTGGAGAATCTAATAATTTTAGGGTAGTTTCTTTATTATTCATTAAAATATTTAATATTATAACTGGTGCAATATTGGAGCCTACAGAGTTCAAAGGGTTAAATCTGTCCTTTTTCTTAATAAATTATTAATTACAAACTAATTGTATCGATCATAGTTGAGAAATCAATCATAAGGCAACGGGTTAAATCCGAAATATAGAATAATTCGAGTTACTCAATGTTTTCCAAATCATTAAGGTATTACACATAATTATTAACACACTAAACGCCGGAAGGAAATACTTAGAAAAGCTTGTAGGCCCAAATAATTTCTTTTCCTCTTTCATTCACGGTTAACGCAACTGTTATTGAGAAATTGGTAATTGTATATTACCTTTACTTATTATTACTTCTTTTAAGCGCTTATACTTCCGCGGTCCCTGGTGATTTATCAGACTTAAATTAATTATTGAACATAAACGCTGTACCTATTACAAAGCATTACACGTTACAATGCACACCAAATCAGAAATGATCCCGGAACGCTTCCACCCCCGTCGATCCTCATTGCTTTCGCTCCGAAGAGATTTACGCAGCGTCCAATTTCCGGTAGTTGCAGAATCACCCTGATGAACGAAAAATTCGTCTTCTTTTAGCTAATGGACGAGATATCCCTGGATTATCAACGTACAATGTGCGACGTCATGTGGAGGAGGATGATCGAGCAGAACCCGGAATTGTTCAAGTTCATCACGTGGACGCCGAACGCCGAGCAGCCGAGGCCGCCGCGCAAAGGAAAAATCGATACGGGCATGGAGAATTTCCCTGTAATTAAAGCGAGGTGGATCCCCGTCGCACAGTGCGCCTAAACGGTTGCTTTCTGGAGAGAACTCGATAACTTAGGAAGTATCAGTGATACACATATGGTGGTTATATATTTTTTATACATTACGGGGATATTATGAAGTTCTTTCGATGACGATGAACATTTCGTGGTTCGACGCCAAAGTTATACAAACAGAGAAACGAAATTTATCCGCGAAAAATTTTGATTTTTTAAATGGAAATTATTTTGTATAGCAGGGACTATCGATACATTGTTAGCCTTCAATCTTTCGTTGTGCGAGTAGTCGAATTTTGGTGTTTCGTTCACAGGCGGCCGCACTGTGCGTCGTTCCCTCTGAAGTAATCCTGACGATATTTTCCACCGTGAAATCGCTAATCTCGTGAACTGATTTTCCATCCATCCAAATGGACGAACGATATTTGTGAACGAACAAGGATCGACCCGTTGTGTTTAAACACGCTTCAAAGGATTAATTCCATTAATTGAAGTCGTGAATTCCAAAACACGAATCTTCTTGTTAACGCTGTCTGTGCGAGCTATTGATTTATCTGTTTTCAGCTTAGTCAGACCTATTTAATCCTTTACGCCCGAGAAGCGGGTCACCATTCGATTCAATGCGGAATGGTTGTAAAATTAAAAATTCTGTATTACATGTTATATAATGTCTGGACGCGTGAAAGATTCGAGTAAAATAATTCTGTCCTTTAATTAACGCGAGATTGTTCATCGTGTTAGTTGCAGAGAGAATTAATCGATTTCGTCGGAGAATAATGAGCATTTATAACGAGAAATATTGTCGAGTGCAAAGGGTTAACACGTTGAATGCCGTGGGGTTCACCGGTGACCCCCAAGCAAATCGAATTACTATAATTCACTCGATTAAACAATGATTATTTAAAAACTGTTCCATATTAGAAAAAATGCAACTTAAGGCGATGACGTTTAGCAAAATAACCGTGCAACAATGATAACAAAATTCAATCAAATACTTTGATATCATATTTTTTCCTACTTCGTGCATTTCGCTCCGTCAAATCGTTCGGCATTGAACGAGTTAATACTGAAAACGTACACTTCGTAGATAAAATAGATAATAAATTAATCAACGAAGACGAAAAGAAAGATTGGTTTTTTCGGAACGCTGATCGGAATTGTGTTTTGGAATTCATGGCTTCAATTAACGTTCACTTGAAGTTTCGGGGATATAAAAATAACACTCTTTCTTTTTCCAGTGTACACACAGACATTGAACATGATATTCCTTACAGTTTCGAAGAACTCATTAACAATGATACCATTAATGACATTTTTCTTGTAGATTTCTATACCTAACTTTCTTTTTCTATCGTATCTGGATCTCTCAGATTGAATATGATTTAATGAAATATAAATAGAAATGATTTTGAAGGACGACACGCAATGGATTGGAAGTTAAATGGTTTAGGGATAATGAAAGCCTCGTAACGGTTTAGGAAACAAAGAGGTTCGTGCACTGGTTCACACTGTACGTGCTGAGGGAGGTGTACGAGGCAATGTCATGCATCGTCGCGGAGTGCATCCATGTATCATCGATGGACCTGTTCGCCTCTAATTACGGGAAAACCATGAGGCTGTGGGAATTCGAGGACATGCACACGCTGGCGACCACCACGGTGATCAAATATTTGAAGGAGCCGTGGCTGGAGAAGATCACTCAGTCGGTGCGAATGTGTTTGAGGGACGTCGGGAAGGGTTGGTTTAACCTCGAGCAAAGCGTTCATGGTGTTTACGATGTGATGAAGCTTAACCGATTCATGAGTCTGGCAACACTACGAATGCAGGTGAACATTCATTTCTCACTCGCAATAGAAACTTTCAACAGAATTTGATATCTTGATTTTCTGGAGTAAACGTGGACAGAATAAGTATCAAACACTGTTCGTTCCGTAAGAAATTATTAACGGTAAAGTAGCTTTATCAGGCAGAGTTGTGAAAAAATGGGGCAAAGGGTTGACGCTTAAGCAGCTGCCTGAAGTTGATTGTCGTTGAGCATTTAACAGATTTTATTAGAAATTGTGTTTCATGAAGGTAAGAAAAGTATTTAATGAATTTCGAGTATCTCCAGTTCAAAGCTTGCTAAATTACGAACGAAAAAATAAACAAAATAATGGCAATGCATTGTTGACTTTTTCAAATGCGATAACACGAGCGATAGTATTTTTATGAGATGCGAATGAAAATTGGAAAGGAAATCCCGATTTTGAAGGAAAATGTACGTGACAGTAGAAATTCCAAATTCATGCAGCACGCGCTACGGATTCTGGTGGAGAATTCGATCGTGTATTACGGTGAGAGCCTCGAGAATCCAGCGCTCTGCGTCCTCGACGTGAACGAATCGTTCGTCTGGGGTGACAATTTCATCGACAGCCAGTTTAAGTCCGCCCATCAACCCCTGTTTAACGTGGACATTGAAATGAACGTGAATGGAGCTTATTACACCACGGACCCCGATGAATACGCGGCAAGTAATATAAGTACCTAATGGTAAAGAAAACACGGACTCCTTCTTTGTATTATATTCTTATAAATAATTTTTATTATTTTTGTGTTGTACATTTATTCCTTATAATAGAAATTGATATGATAGTATAATATAATATAATTTACAATTTATAGTTGCTATTATTACGATAATACAATGCAATGTAATGTAACTATAATTGCAATTATTACGATAATACAATATAATATAATTTACACTTTATAATTGCAATTATTACTATAATATAATATAATATAATTTACAATTTATAGTTGCAATTATTACAAAGATACAATATAATAGAATTTACAATTTATAGTTGCAATTATTGCAATAACTCAATATAATATAATATAATTTACAGTTTAAATTTATATTCTACGATGAAAATGACAAATTATATTATATTAATATAAATAATCTAAGAAGGAGGGACAAGTGATCAAATGAGATGAACGAGACACAAGACCCTTCACATCGACGAAGCATTTAATTTCTGTTTGCATTTGCGGGAAGGTAACCATCGTAGCGTTGTATGACAACGCGCTCGCCAGCTGCCACCAAATTCGGCAAATACACCCTTTCCTGCTGCCGGCGCTGAAGTTTCCGAGAGACGTCTGCTTGAGCTCCGTTGGTTTACTCGAACAACAAGTGTGCGAGATACGGGATCGTTTAAGCTTGGCTTACCAGAAATCCGCTATACCTCTCAGAGCGTACGCTGCTGAATTTCGGAGATATTTGGATCTCTTTAACCTTGACGTCGCTAAATACGTCGAGTGAGTAGCGAATCGCGTGAATGTTCATATTTTTAATGTCTCAGAGATGATTGGAGAGTCAGTTGGTTCTTAACGCTTAGGCGACCGCCTAAAAAGAACTATAACTACAACCTCCTCCATTATCTTCAATTACTTGCAAAATTACAAGAGAAAAGGTGCACAGAATAAAAGGCAATACGTTGCTAAGTGAAAAATCGGAGATCTCCCTATTCAGCTAAGTGTTAAGAGGCAGAAATGGGCAGAAGCAATTATCATTGCTTCGTAAATAACGTTATCGACTCTGTTACAACAATTCAAATATACCTCGGTTTCATTCTCTTTAGCCACGCCCCGAATTCTCTTCAATGGTTCAAAGGGCGTATCATTGTTCCATAAGTAAGCTTAACAATCCTCTTACGCCAATCCATTTGTAATTAATCCACTGAATTATCTCCGAACTCTTACACAACTAGTTCAGCTCACTAATTTTCCTTAACCACGCCCATCGCTGTCTTTTGGCTACGCCCAATTCCCTGTAGCTCCACCCAGAAATCAAACGCTTTAAACAAGGATTTTGTTCGGTTTACAGAGAGTTCAAACAAGAAGAGTATCTCACCACGTCGGAGATAAAGGATGAGATATCGTTACAGATCTCGATGAGGAAGAGCATCGAGACGAAACTGCCGGAGAGAATCGCGATCGGGCCATTTAAGGTGAACGTACGCCCGTTGAAGGAGCTTTTGACTAAAAAGCGACGGGACTGTGCGACTGGTCTACTGGACATGTTAACCGGTAAATTGCGCGCTGAAGTGGACGATATCCTGGACGAATACAGGAAGATAAGGATCAAACTGAAGGAACAACCGCAAAGCATCGAGCACATCTTCGAGATACGCGATTGGATGGAGACTATACCGCTACGAGTGCAGGGTCTCGAAGAAAGAATGGACAAATTGAAATTGGACTTTGACGTGCTCGATATTTTCTGGTGGAATTTATCCGACGAAGATTTCGAGGCGAAGTGGGAGGCGATCGGGTCTCCTCTACAGATTCAGTTGGACGTGAGTGTCCATCGATTTCAATTGAAATTGCGGTTTCGATTCGACACGAACATACTGTTTGTTAAAGCGGCGATTAACCGATTTGCATTTTGTGATAATGAAAACTATTTTAACGGCGATAATTTTGTATTATTGTATTCGAATGATTGGAGTGTAGACATAGGTGGTTTATGATAATAATATATAATATATAATATATAATATATAATACATAGTATATAGTATATAGTATATAGTATATAGTATATACTATGTATTATATACTAATATATATTATATACTATACAATATATAATATATAATATATAATATATAATATATAATATATAATATATAGTATATAATACATAGTATATAGTATATAGTATATAGTATATAGTATATAGTATATAATATATAGTAATATATATATATATATATGTATATAATATATAATTTATAATATAATAACAAAGCACGAAAAAGATGCGAAAGAGTTAAATAATTAATTCGAAACTCCAATCGTTCGAAACCGTTTAAAATCGTCCGAGTGTCTAATACAATTTTGCACTATCAAATAGCGTCCAAAATATCGTCGCTCAAATTTCGGTCACTGTTACACGAAACACGTGCTCTCCTAAAACCGTAATTCTCGCGAATTCGCCCAGGTCGAAGAGACAAACGAGCGGTTCGTAGAAGAGCAGGAGAAGTTTTATAGGATCCAAGTGCAAGACGAGGTTTTGTTGCTCGAGAGGATTGACACGCTGGTGGGAAACGTTCAAAATATAGGATTGCAATCCGACATGAACCGAATACACGAGACTGCTCTCGACGTGAAACGTGTTTGGAAAGCGATGACCGAGTGCAGGGAGACGGGTCTGTTGCTCAACGAACGTCAGAAGCTGTTCGGTATGAAGGTGGTGCCATTCGAGGATCTTCAGAAGCTCATAAGAGACTTCGAGCCGTACAAAAGTCTGTGGGTCACCGCCTCAGGCAAGCTACTCGTTTCTATCATGATATCGATCCTGTTTTCATCCAGCACACGATACAGGCGTTTGTTCTTTCCTGACTTCATCGTCTTTAACTATTCATTCCATGCATGTGGTCGAGGTTATAAAAAGAACGACCGATCCCGTGTGTAAATGGAACTTCAACATCAAATTTATTTCATGCTTCGAAACAGTGTAATTTTAATAGGAATTCTAGTATTCCAGCTTTAACACTATTTCTACCAAAGGCACCTGAAATTTTAACTTAAAATTATTTTCCGAGCTTAATCGTGTATTCTGAATTGACTTTTCGACTTTCCCAATAACGATTATAAAATTAACTATATAAAGTGTCCAAAATTCAATGGAGGAAAAATCATTGAACTGAGAAAATAATTTTAATTGAAGATTGAAGTAGTGTTAATGGCGACAGAAAAGCTGATTAATGGGCTACCAATCGATAAACGATGAACTATAAATCGATAGTTGACGTATAAAAGTTATTGATACACTTCCTGCAAACGAAGTGTCAAAACGATTCACGTATATAACAGTTTCTGTTTCGAGGATTTGAGTATTCCCGACGTTACACGTCACAAGATTCATCGGTGTTGATTTGTTCCGCCTTCAGACTGGCTCAAGTGGTACGAAGTGTGGATGGACAATCCTCTGATGAACGTAGACGGCAGCCAGGTGGACAGCCTCGTCATCGAAATGTACCGGGTGATCACTCGAGCAGTGAGAACCTTTCAAGAGAACCCAAGTACGCACGGATAGAGTAACTCCGGATTAGATGGTCCGATTTCATTTACATTGTCTATATTTTCAATTGTTTCGGTAATATACTGAACATTGCGGAGACACTTATTTAACACGTTCGCTACCAGCGTCACATATTTGCGACGGCCGTAATCTTATATTTTACATAATGAAAACGAAATGAATCCTATAGATATTGTTATTGGAAATTATAATCTACGACATTATATTTAGGAACTCCATGACTGGTTTCAATTTCATTTTTCTAATATTTTGTTTAGATTTATTGGATTGAAGAAAATATAACTGAGGAGACCGTCACCGAAATAAGCGCTGATAGCGAGCGTTTTAACTGTTCCTACGTATATTTATTTTCTTAGAATATATTTCCTTTTTGTACATTTAACAAAAGTGAGCCATCTCTGCCCGACTTATCCTATGTCGCTTTGATTCGAAGTTGAATAAAAATATTCGGGATTGAAACATTTTCAGCGATATGCATGCGCGTGTCTGATTCGTTCAGAATTGATACGGTTCTTTTACTGAGCTACAGAGGTGCAGGCCGTGGCGGTGTCGATACGTGACCAGATCGACGAGTTTAAGCCCCATATCGGACTGATACAATCTCTTCGGAATCCGGGAATGAAGGATCGACATTTTGAGCAACTAAGCGCGCAAACTGGCATTCAAATGTCGCTGACGCCGGCCATGACGTTCCGCTCGTTACTGGTCCTTGGCATACAGCAATTCGAGGAACTGGTAAAAACGGTCGCGGACACAGCCGCGAAAGAGTACGCCACCGAGCGAACGTTGAATAAAATGATGGCTGAATGGGAGCCAATTATCGTGGAAATTCTACCGTATAAAACCACGGGTAAATATTTGTATACGTGACCCGTGAAATAGAGGAGACTGCTTTTTGATTGTGTGTTTGAAATGTTTCCGTGAAGTTGGTTTAGCTGAAAAATACTGTTTCATGGAAATTTAAAATTGTACCTCTGTTGAGGAACGTTAGTGGGCGGAGCTAAGAAGCATTGGTGGGAGGAGTTAAAACGAATTGATAGGCGGGGTTACAAGGAATTAAATAGAGTTAAGAATTAAAGGGCGAGGCTAAAGCGACTCGATGGGCGGAGTCAAGGTGAAGTGGTGGGAGGAGCTAACGACAAGCATTGGAATAATGATATGTTAATCAGTGTGAGCGGTTATAATGCATTGGAATTTATGATTGAATAGTCGAAATATATTTTATACATACTCAGAGAAATTTACAGCCTTTGCTTCTCCTTTGTTGTTCGTAGGTACGTATATCATGAAGGTACCGGAAGAGACAATGATGCTTCTAGAGAATCACATACTCGGCGTACAGCAGCTCAGTTTCAGTCCACTGAAGACTGCTTTCGAGGACGAAATCAACCAATGGGAGAACAAGTTGAAATTAACGCAAGAAGTGCTGCTGCTTTGGATCGAAGTGCAGAGGTGAAGTGAAGATATCAGGTATTATTGTATGAGATTGAAATTACGTGGATCATTTACAGAGAGTGGATGTATTTGGAACCGATATTCACGTCGGAGGATATAAGCACGCAACTGCCGTCGGAAGCGAGGAAATACAACGCCATGGAGCGGAACTGGAGAAGGATTATGAAAAACGCTTATGAGCATCCCTATGTAAGCTTCTCCTTGTATACACTATATCTCGATTGCACGTTCACAAGAAGCACCGAATGTATAATTCTTCTTCTCGTTGGGACGCGTTTCCATTGCTCGAAATTCTTGGACGGATATATCGATGGGCGGAGCTAATTAGAATTTTGTAGGCGGGGCAAATTAAATTCGGTGGGCAGAGCAAATCGGAATCGAGCTAACAGACGAATAAGAATCTGTGGGCGGGGCAAAGAAAGATCGATGGGCGGGGCAACGTAAAATAAAGAAACAAATAGGCGTGTCCATGGGAGAAGCTAGTATCCGTCAAAAGTTCAAGCTCGTCCAATTGATCCCATCGCAGATCATCAGAATATGCCCGGATAGAAACCTCCTGGAGAGCCTGCAGGAGTGTCAGAGCCTGCTGGAGGTGGTGCACAAGGGTCTGTCGAACTACCTGGAGGTGAAGCGTCGCGCGTTCCCGCGTTTCTATTTCCTGAGCGACGAGGAGCTGCTTGAAATCCTGGCGCAGGCGAGGAACGTGCACGCAGTCCAGCCGCATCTCCGGAAATGTTTCGAGAACATACAGTGGGTCAGGTTCGAGGATAATCTGGAAATTACACGGATGTACTCCGCGGAGGGTGAGGAGGTGGTGCTTCGTCCGTCGATGTACCCCGTGCGGAGCGTGGAATATTGGCTCGGTGATCTCGAAAGATCGATGCGTAACACCATCAGAGAGATCATCCGTGAGGCCCTTGGCATCGTCGAGACCACACCGAGAAACGAATGGGTGTACATGTGGCCTGGCCAAGTGACTCTGTGCTGCGGCCAAGCTTACTGGACGGCGCACGTCGAACACGCTATCCGTCAGAATGCGCTTCCAGCTTATTATCGAGAGATGCTGGATCACGTACGTATACACCTTTAAACCACTGATCATTGGAAACTCGCAGCCGAAACGTTACGTGTACAGTGCGTTACTGACATGATCCCAGCCGGCCTGTGGCTCAAAAGTGAAGAGGGCCCGATAGTAATGGCGGAATTAGTAATGGCGGAATTAGGCTGAGGTGGAGCACGCTGCCGAATCCCCTTGATCTTCTTCACTTTTGAGCCGGCTGGGATCATGTCAGTAACGCACTGTAGATGGAACAGTCTTTCACTGAGCTTGACGTTTAAGGATCTATGGACTCCGTTAATTCATACATGGCGTAATTAACAATAGAACTATCAGGTGAGTCAAAATGACCGCTTCCTAGTTTCTTCTTTTAAAATGACTGCAAACGTACAGGTACTTCTTTAAGAAATGGTTAAAGAAGCTGATTTAGCAATACCTAAACTGAAGTATAAACTAATTGGAATATTAATAAAATCATGCAAATAGCTTTTATAAAGAGATTTTCACAAGACGGTTTAAGTGCTCGGTAGTTCTAGTGTTAAGTTGTAATCGGAATTCCTCGGTTCTGACAAACATTAATGCCAGGAAAAGCACTTGTTCGTCTCGTACACTTATAATTGTCACCGCGGCACGTGTAAGATCAAACAGATCGAGCAACATTGTAACTGTTAGGAGTTAGGAGTCATCACTCGTCATTGTATGGCAAAGAGTTGAAACCGTTACTCGTTGTCTATCAGACGCCGATGATCAAGTTGCGAACGACCAGTGTTCGGAACGATGTAGGATAGAAAAATTCGTAGAAACGAAACTGTATTGTTAAAGTCTAATACTAATAATAAATAAGGTAGATTAATGATAATAATAACATATAGGATATACTGAAGCGAATAGGATTATCCTCTTTTTAATAATAGGAACGGTTACTAATCAAAAGTGAAAAAGAATTTTCAAATATTTCTTCTCGCAAATAAGGACGAAGGAATGGGAAACATGGTTTCCGATACAACAAATGTGGACTGGATTTTTATTTTTATTCGGTTTACCCTGCGATCTGATTCTCTTCAGCCTGCTCCAGGAATTCCGACGCACATTTCGCCGCAGCGACCAACGAGTCGCCATTGTTGTATCGTGTCGGTTTCACATCGACCACTCTGCGCCAACGAATGCGAATGAAAGTCATAGAAAGCAATTCTGTTGAATTGCGATTGTTCATTACCACTAAACGAAAGGTATAAAAGCAAAGTGACCTTATGGAACCTGGTTCGCTCGCTCATTTTTCCGTCACTCGATGATTACGTCGCCGGCGATTGGTCGACGTACATAACGTCTCTAACTGTCCGTCTCGCTAAACCTTTGTGCTGTCAAGTCGCTAACAATCGTTACAGAGCTAACAGTTCTCCGTTCTCTCGACGACTTCTACTTTCTGCTACTTCATTCCTTACGGTTCAACCTCTTTCACCATTTTTCAACTCGATAAACGAGCTCCCGTTCTTTATTATTTTTACCGTGTACGTTTATTCTACCCCGCGAATGTTTTTCATAGGTTTCTTTCCATCGATTGTTGCAACGCCTCTGTTTATTCAGATTCTGGAACAATTTTCAGTCGGCACCCTTTCCTGACACCGTGGAATATTTACGACAAATACTTTTTGCAATACCACTGCACCGGAGGTTTGTTAAATTCCAATGGCCTCTTTGCTCTTTCCGGTATCGGTAGAATCGTTAAATTCTTGCCCGCACTTTCATGCTAAAGAATTCATCATCGTTGTATTTTTCCGGGAAACTATTGATGGCAAAGTGGCTTTGGCGTGTGCAGTTGAAAAAAAGGTTTTAGGAAAATCTATGAAACTACGATAAATATTGGTTAAAATAATTGATTATTGTTGTTATTATTGCACGCTGAGCTTGCTCAATATCACCGCGTTCGGGAGCATTGTTTATAATACAGAAATGTTGTCGAATAATCGTCGTTTAATTGAAATGAACTATAGTAATTCGGTTTGGTCACCGGTGGCTCCCATGGCATTCAACGTGTTAAAGGAAAATAATTGTGAGGATGAATATATGAAATAAACGTACCGTGATATGAATAATATGATAATATGCATATGAAATAATATGTATATGAAATAATATGTAATATGAATATGATATAATATTTAATATGAATATAATAATATGTAATATGAAAATAACTGAATGGTCATTTTCTGAAACGAGTCCCTTCACTCGCAGCTCGACAGTCTGCGGGAACTGGTCAGGGCTCCTCAAACAGAAATACAGCGATTGATGCTGGAAGCGGTGATCACGATTGAAGTTCACGCGAGGGACGTCACGTACACGTTGATCGAAGAGGGCGTGTCGAACGTCAACGATTTCGATTGGATATCGCAGCTGCGATACTACTGGGTAGACGATACCGATCTAAAAGTGCGCGCTGTCAACGCCGAATTTCAATACGGGTGAGTGAAACCTGAACCCCCTTTCCTCGTTTCATCGCCAGTACTTTTTCACCGAAATGTCAAAGGTACGTAACTGTTATTTTCAAAATAAATGAACTCATGTGTTAAATATTCAAACTTTTCGTTATCGCTCTAATGCCAGGAGTGGGCATTTTTGTGTGGCTCGTTCAAATATTCACGATTGGAATGTTTGTACATTTTCAATGTTATTTATTCCGCCTATATTCGAGTGTCGAGGAGCTCGAGTGACAAATTATTGAAATATTTCGTAAATGTCTGTTCCGTTTGCCGAAGGTACGAATACTTAGGCAACACCGGGAGACTAGTGATCACTCCTCTAACCGATCGATGCTACCTGACGCTGACCGGCGCTCTACATTTGAAATTCGGCGGCGCGCCAGCTGGCCCAGCCGGAACCGGTAAAACGGAAACGACGAAGGACCTCGCGAAGGCGTTCGCCATTCAATGCGTAGTCTTCAACTGCTCGGACCAGTTGGACTTCCTGTCGATGGGCAAGTTCTTCAAGGGCCTCGCCAGGTATTCATCAATGAATAAACTCTATCGTGTTCAATCGTCGATTAGATCTAAAAAATGGCTTTAAAAACACTACACAGAGTGTTAATATCGTTTCGACACCTGGCGCAATTGCATTGTCACGGAGAATTTCTTAGAAATTTACGATGTACCCTCATTCGGTGAAGAACATTTCGTTTCACAGCGGCGATGGAATAATTTGAACCCCTTGTCTTATCATTTCTCTCGCAACTATGCTCATTAGAATGGCTTTGTCGTTAATAATAGACTAAAGAACAAAATATTCACGATTCATCTGTATCCAGCTCGATTTTAGAACATAACAGTCAATAATAGAAAAACAGCGTTCAATTTGAAATTATACACTACTTTATCGATAATAGTTTATTAAGAGAAGAAGGAATTTTGATTATTCCACGTCTTCGTTTATTCCGAAATTTGAAGATTGATAATAGAACAATGATACTCGATTAATGTTTTCGAAGAATCAGGTAACACTTAGATCTCTCAAATTCAGTTTAAAACTTCTAACACGATACTGTTGGTTGAGCGGTTAATTTAATTGGGTTCGTTATGCGAGCTAGAATATAGAAAACGGCCGCAATTTCGCCAGCATTCAATGACTGTTACCATGATATTATTCTCGGAATCTAGCTCCGGTGCTTGGGCGTGTTTCGACGAATTCAATAGGATCGACATAGAAGTATTGTCGGTGATCGCCCAGCAGATCATGACTATTCAACAGGCACAACAGATGCGTGTCGACACGTGAGTATATTCGAACGCGCGTTGGTAGCAATCGCGGTGTTTTTTCGAAGTAAATGAAAAAAAATGTTCGCCAACGCGTATTCATTGCGGAAACCTGTTAATAAAAAGTCAATGGTATTTTTGGATCGACCAGCGATTCTGCGAAATGCCGACTGACATCCTAATAAATTCGTCCCAAATTTAGGAATTGTTCGGTGAACCGTTCTCGAGACACTAATACGGAACATTTTCATCTTTACATACGTGTTTTATTAAATCGCATGAAAATCTATGTTCAGTAGCACTATACATTTCGACCGTGGAATATTTAATTCTTAAATATTTGAATTCGGTTACGATCGGTATTGATATTAATATAATAAAATTAATATTAATATTGATATAATAGTATCTACAACGATATTAGAGATATGTTAATATCACTTAACGTATTAACTTAGTATATATTCAATCGGGTTATCATCGATTATCTTATTCGACGATTTATAAAACAAATCCTTTTATCATTACTTTTATTCCTCCCAATGAATTATTTGTCTAATCGTTTCTCGTTTCTCTTTCATGGAAACTTTCTGTATCATTTCTGTACATTACATTATTAGAATCATTACTATTGACACGTCGACAGCCATGAGAACTTTGAACATTTTGTATAATTACTCTTTCGTAACCAGAACAACGTAACACGTTCTGTGCCACGTGTACCATAAATAGTACACGTGCAACTTTTATGAGGAAACTAATATCAAAATATATTAAAAGTCAGCAGAAGATCTATCATTCATCTATTCTTAACACATTGCTTACTGGTAACGAGAAATCTCGTTTTTATACGAAGACTCTTAGTTATATAACTTTGCTATTTACCACAGCATTTAAAGAAATATTAAATTTTATTAGAACTAATTGTCCATTTAAAATGTATTACATAACAATATGGTACTTTAGTTTTTTTATAGATAATGATATAAGTGGATCTCACTGAAAATCCGCGCAATTCAATTTTCTGATAATTAGCCGGTACGCAAAGTGTTAATCTATCACTTAAAAAATCAGTTCAGCGTCGAAGAACAATGGTACACGTCGTGAAACAAGAGAAACGTAAAGAAATAATATCAAAATATATTAAAACCTAGCAAAAGATCTATCGTTTAATCTATTCTTGATCATTTAAAAAATTAATTCACTTTATAAGCAACATATAACCGAAATTTCCAGTGGCGCGGAATGTGTTAATGGATATTCATTCGGATCTATTACCGAATTTATTATTATTATTACCTAGTACATATTACATGGTAATTACGTACTAGTATAAACTAATTACATATACAGTGTACATCTAATAATCGCTAATAACAATACATTATCCAGTAATTATCATACAGGTTCGTGTTCGAGGGTGAAGAGATTGTACTGAAGCCATCATGCGCGGTGTTTATCACAATGAACCCTGGCTACGCCGGTCGCACCGAGCTCCCAGACAATTTGAAGGCACTGTTCCGTCCGGTCGCCATGATGGTACCGGATTATGCTCTAATCGCTGAGATCTCGCTCTTCTCGTACGGTTTCTCTGAGGCGAAAGCACTCGCCGCGAAAATAACGACCACGTTCAAATTAAGCTCCGAGCAATTGAGTTCGCAGGCAAGTATCCTTAACCGAGACCTGCTAAGTGCTTCTCCTTCATTCCTCCGTCATTCCTACCTTCACCTCGTCATCATCATTAGTGTGCATCCCAATTGGAAATTTGGTCGAAAGCTCGGTGAAGCTATTATGTTCAACTTATAAATGAATATATCACTTCTGACCTTGATCGTTCAGAGATTCCATGTTACACGAATCAGAAAACATGTAATGTTATTATAATTCACGTTGGTGAACGTTTGTATGTAGCATTTAGTGATACGAATGATGATATTAATATGTCGATTATATATTAATGAGAATATCGAATGGTATATTAACACGTTGACTATCGCGAGAATATCGAACGTTTTGTGTAATATATATTCTTTCGTAACAAAGGCAAATGATACTAGAAATAATTATTAATGACTTGGTATCACAGTACACGCGTTACACTATCATCTAGCTGTGTTACTAAGTATTTTTATTCGACATCAGTTTTCTTATTGTAATTGTGTTTAAGCGATTTTGGAGCTCCGGTCACCGGTGACCACCGTGACAGTCAACGTGTTAATGATAATATTAAATGATATATTAATGATAATATTGAATAATACATTAACCCTTTTGCAGTTTCAAGGTGACTCTCAGTCACCATTTAATTTAATATACCAAAATTATAAAGTCTTACGCACAATATTAAGCTTCGTGTGGTCCATAAATATATGGAATATTGAAATAATAACTTTGTTTCTTAACTTATGTCGCTTCTCTCGTTCAGTTCGTTTAAAAAAATGATTGGAAAACGTTGAATATTTGTAACGAAAGAGTCCCGAGTGCAAAGGGTTAATGATAATATTTTGCGATATATAAATAACATTAAATTATTATTCATCAATATCAATTATTTTATTTATTTGTTTGTATGAATAAATAATAATTTTAATAAATATTAAGGTACTATTCACTAGTTCCCCGACAATCGAAATTGCGAATAATATAAAGAATTTAATCGACAAATTAAGGGACAAAGTAATTTACTTTGATATTTCACATAATGACGCGTTATACAAAGTTTAGTATTAAACATCAAACTTTATAATTTTACTGTATCAAACCAAGTGTCGACTGAGAGTCCTCCCGAGCGCAAAGGGTTAATAACATTAAATTATTATTCATTAACACGTTGAATGCCAAAAATCGAATTACTATAATTCACTCAATTAAACGATGATTATTCGCAAACATTTCTATATTATAAATAATGCTCCTCATTGTGGTGACATTCATTTTGATGAAAGTGCAATGATAATAATCCAATTCAGTCAAATGATGTAATATTGTATTTTTTCCATTTTGTGTATTTTGCTCTATGAAATCGTGCGGCGTTCGACGTGCTAATGTCAATTATTTTATTTATTCGGTTGTACGAATAAATAATAATGTTAATAAATATAAAGGTACTATTCACTAGTATCCCGACAATCGAAATTGCGACTTTGATTACGGTTACATCCGTTATCAGGACACCCTGTGTACATACTCTTTCCCTTGTCCTTAAACACCACTTTCGCTCTCATTTCGGCTATCAATATTTACCCCATTACCGAATGTCACGACGGAATATGGGACAATAACGTATGCATCAGTGTTACTCAGACTGGTCTCCGTGAACCAGGGACAAGTAAAAATGGCGTCTGCTACAGTTTCACGTCGAATTTTCTACACACATCCCCGGCGACGATATTAATCACGCCGGCTGGGATCGCGAAGGGTGCGAAATGGGCGCGGCGCTGTTTAATGGCATTCTTTATTCTCGAGGCAGACATGGAAAAAATCTGACAATACATTACCGACAACGTTACAAATGTAGCGGCTGAACCAGTTACAAATTATTCTCCGTAATCTTTGATCAGTAGACTGCAGATCTTCATGTAAATTGAAAATTTCAAGGACATAATCGGAGACGTATGAATATCATGGAAAACAGTATTTTCTTTGGAAATACTATAGTTCTAATCAATTTCTTATAATTCTATTCCAATTACTATATTTCTAAGGAATTTCTTTCTATTTCAAAATTCTAATTCTGAGCAATTCTATGCTTTTACCAATCTTTAATAATCTACTATTGAAATTTAGGTGATCATAATGAATTCTAACACTTCTAATTTCGATTAGCTTCCTTTGCTAATATTGATATAATTTATCCATATTGCGATTCGTTTTGTTGACTGAAATTTCCAATAAATGCATAAGAATTCGCAGTCCCATCATTAATAATCTATGATTAAAACTCAAGTGGTCATAATGAATTCTAACCCCTCCAATTTCGATTAGTTTCCTTCGTTAATGTTGATTTAATTTATCGATATTGCGATTTGTTTTGTTGACTGATGTTTATTACCCATTTAATATTATTCATTTTCCCTGCAGGATCATTATGATTTCGGGATGCGAGCGGTGAAAACGGTGATCGCGGTCGCGGGCAATTTGAAGAGGGAGCAGCAGGACCTGAACGAGCAACAGATTTGTTTGCGGGCCTTGCGCGACGTAAACGTTCCGAAGTTTCTCAAAGACGATTTAACGCTGTTCAACGGTAAGCATATATCACCTAAATCCGGAGACGACTCTCGCGCTGGCGCTTCTCCCGTCTCGAATCTCGCGTTTCATTTATTCCGCCGCAAAGATTAGTGAATTTTTTATGCTTAAATAACGTAACTTTCAAGCGATAGCCTACATTTCGCGTGTTTTAAATATGGAAGAGACACTTTGAATTTCTTTAGATTCGAATGAACAAAACGAGACCCAAATAACGAACTTTTCTGAATGAACACAATTAATTGATTAGTATGTTAATTATATTTTTAACATTTGTTCATTCCTTATTATCTAACACATATAACGATTCCGCGGAAAATTAAAGTTACTAGAAAATTAATTTAAACAACCGGTTAAATCGTTAAATTGCCTTAACACGTTGACTGCCACGGTGGTCACCGATGACTAGAGCTTCCAAATTACTTGAAAACAATCATCACTCCTAAGATAACTGACGTCGAATGAAAATGTTTAATAACGTGAACAACTGGATCGCAGTATGAGTACCAAATAATTTATAACTATTCCTTTTTATTTTCGCTGCAAAAGAATAAGTGATACGTAAAACACTGAAGTTTCTCGTGGCAGCCACGTTGAAATCGAATTACTACAGTTCACTCAATGAAACGACGATTATATGAAAACATTTCTATATTATAAATAATGCTACATAATACAGTGATATTCAGCTCGATGAACGTGGAATAGTAATAATGCGATTCGATCGAATGATTTAATATTATATTTTTTTCCATTCGGCGTATGTTCCTCTGTGAAATCGGCTAAATTTCAGCTACTGGAAACGGGAGTGTCGGTGATTATATTAATACATTTCGAAACATCAATCAAACCGAAATTTGTAACTTGCGAAAAAGAATGAGGCATTCGATTTTGTCATTTTAGTTTGTATTCATTCATCATTTCCCTTTCGAAACAGGCATTGTATCAGACCTCTTCCCGCTGCTGGAAGAAAAACAAGTGGACTACGGTGTTCTAGAAGCAGAGATACGCGCGACGATCGTGAGGATGGGATTGGAGGAGATCGACGGTAAGAATCGTTTCTCGTAAAAGTTATTTAAGCGTAAACCTTAGCACTCCGGATGATTTTGTAATCTACCAACAACTCCAAGCCGTTTTTATAGTATCCCTAGCACAAATGAGAAATGTTATATTCTAACACCTCTTAGGTTTCTTTATTCTCCTTCTTAATACAAAATTTGGATCTATAGAAGATCCAGTGATCTTAGGATAGTTCTTCTAAATTTATTCATTAAAATATTCAATAGTATAAATGGTGTCAACGGAGCCTACAGAGTGCAAAGGGTTAACCGTTTGAGTCCCACGCGCCGCTTCCGCGCTCTGACATGACACGACAGATTTCACGTCGAAAAAATCCAGCGCATTTGAACGATGCGCACGGCTGACGCATTCACAATCTAACGAGACGCGCTCAATTTTTCACGCATGTACGTCGCGTCGCTGCATTTTTTGTATATAAGTAACCCGAGTAGTACATTTTGTATTTGGTTGTTACCTATTATAGCGATTACTATTGTAGTATCTGGAATATTTATTGTAGGATGAATGGTTCGTTGTGCGTGCGTAAGGGCGACCAGGTCGTATTGCGACGGACCGACGCCGGGACGTTTGGAAAATAGTGTGACTGCGTTTAGAAAATCTCGAGTGGCTGAAAGAATGCGAGGAAGAGTGTCTGGAACTGAGCGACTGGACCGTGAGGAAAGCGTGTACGTGACTGCGTGAATTTTGACTATGGACGAAAGATGCGAGTGAGAAGGGTGCAATGGTGAGAAAGACAGAGCGAATGGGGGTGTGTGTTAAAAGCGAGTGGAAATGCGTGCATGAGGACATTTTGGTGAGCGACAGCGGAGAACATTTTTGTACGTGATAGAGAGTGTGTTGGCCTTCGTGGTATTAAGTTGTATTTTTACGTGTTGTCCATATTGTTTCCTAATTCTCTTTTTACTGAAGATCCACTTTTTCAATATCTATAATAATAGTAGCTCCACTATAAAATTGGGGGCTCGTCCGGGATCACTATACTATTATTATAGATAGTGAGGTGGAGTGGATCTCGAGTAATCAAGAGCTAGGAATAGATATATGTATTTAATGAAATATGGAAACAACACGGACAACACGTAAAAAATACAACTCAACGCCACGGAGGCCAACACACGACTCTTCTCTCGCCACTCTCTTAAAAGACATTCTCTCCCACAAGCATTCTTCTCACTCGCACTCATTCTTACATTCACTCTTCTTAAAAATACCTTAACCTACGCTAAAAATTCTAGATACTACACTATTATAAATTAATATATACGTGAGAATGGATGTATTTGTGTGAATAGATATATTGATGAGCGATGAATATATGTGCAATAGACGAATGACCCGACTGTGCGTGTGAGCGCGTTTTGAATGAATGTTCAAAGCATTGGAATATTCTGGATTATATTGATTTTCTCTATATGTTAATAATGTTGGTTTTCTTATGAATCTAGAATATTCCAAATATATGTGAAGTTAATGCATGGTAATGAAAGAATGTTCTAGAAAGTGTGCGAGCGAGACAAGAGCATCTGAGTATATAAATAGTGTGTGCGTTGTTTGATTTAGTTAGTGTTTTATTGTGAGTTGTCGAGAAAAAATTTTACTGTTCCTAATAAAATTCTCTTTCTCCTAGATAGATTTATAATGGTGTTAACATAGACTAAGACAAGCGCTGTTGCGCTGCTCGGCTTTCCTCGACACGAAGAAAATTTCATTCGGAAAGCGCTGTCGCGCTGTTCGGCATTTTTCGTGTTTTCTTAGTCATCTGGTACTCAAGCGGTTAAAAAAACATTTGAAACGCAAAAGTAATTGGTTGCTAAATTTGCATGAATCGAGCAGGATCCGCTCACTCGCGAGATTGTCGCGATTAAACAAAACGTTCAGCTGTCGCGGAACGGGTGGCTCCGCCTCTGTTCTCCATTGTTTTTCATCGCATTATTCAGCAAATGAGAGGTTGTTATTCGTGGTTTCCGTCACTTCGAACAAATAACGAGAAGCCGTTTGTTATCACAACCGTCCCGCGTACTGGAGTTTCTCTTCGATGTTTGACGTTACCATTAAAAGCGAGATAAACGCGACCCGCGTTAATTAGCTACACCGATCTTGTCCGCGATATAATCGCAAAATATACTCTAAATAATCCACGTGTATCTCTGCGAATCGTAAACTCGGTTTGTCTTCAGTGATCATCGTGTTTAACCACTCGTGCGGGATCTTAACATTTTAACGCGTTTGCTACCAGCGCTTATTTCGATGACGGTCTCCTCGATTATAACATTTTCTTCGATCCAATAAATCTTCTAAACAGAATATTAGGAAAATGAAACATAAACGAATCATTGAGTTACTAAGTATAATTTCGTAGTTTATAATTTCTAATGACAATATCTATGGGATTCATCTCATTTTCATTGTGTGAATTATGATAAATAAATAATTGAAATCGGTGAGTGGTTCCGAAAACACACTTCTTTTTTTTGTCAATTAGTTGGTTCTTGGGGAGTTCGATCGAGATTTCATGCTCACAGATTAAAATTATTGTATTTTTTAATAAATTTTCCTAAAAAAAGGTAGACGTCTATAGCCGTCATTTGTTTCTCACAGTTTCGATTTCTCCGATACGCAAAAGACGGCTATAGACGTTTCGGTATCTAACGATATTTTTTGAATATAATTTAGGAAAAAATAAAAGAGGTATATTTTTATAAACATAACTTTATTTTGCACATGATTTTCATTTACATTCTTTTTTAATGTAACGCAAAATTGAAAGATACAAGAACAAAAATTTCTACATGAACGCCTCAACACTTTATAATGGCTACGAATTATTTTTGTTGGAGGAGTTTTCTGGAATAACTGTTTTACTTCAACAATTATTAAAAGAAGGCTAAAGGATTTAGAGGATAATAAATTCAACAGTGATATACATTCTTTTAATTGTTTTATAATACTAAAAATATTGGGCTGCTATTGACGTCGTTTGCATCTACAAGCACACGCAATGGACGTCTATAGACGTCATTTACATCGACCTGTTAATTATTGAGAAACAAGATTACGTCTGTATGACATCACTCGCTTTGCTGTTTCATTTGCCATTTGCGTCTACGCGAATCAGCCAATAATGAAAACGATTGAAACCGAGACGTCAACGTCGTCCGTGGACAGTAGTTACTTTAACAGTCTGAAATTATCGAAAGTCCTCTGCTAATCTTCATCGAATGAAATTATTTAACCCATGACGGACGAAGATTCATTGAAATATACAAATCCTTCAGCAGATGAAGCGAAATTATATATCAATTACTTAAATAATAGAAAAAAACAAAAACTACGTGCTGACCTCTTGGTGTTTGAGTAATTAACCCTTTGCACTCGAGCGGCGCCTTTCAATCGCCATTTGATTTTACCGAACAAAATGATCAAATTTACAATTCAATATCAAATTTCATATAATGTACCGACACATGGAACATCGAAATAAACTAGTTCTGTCACTTAATTTGTACAACGTATTTCTTTATGTTAGTTGTAAAACGTATCATTGATATTTCATCAGAAAATAATGAATATTTGTTGAGAAAAATATTCTCGAGTGCAAAGGATTAAATATCATTCGATATGGCACATGAAAATTTCATCTCGTCGAAAGGTCGACGTTCGTCAGCAGAGGGTTAAACTCGTTCCGACCAGGATTCCCCGGGAATGTTTCTTACCACCTGAAAGCGTGATCTTCTTGCTAGCTCAGTTTAAACATAATAAACCAGCGCGCGCTCACCGGATGCCTCCACTTCGCGGAGTACGCGAATATTTGGTCGACTTGAAATTCCTCATATTCTGGTCAGAACTAATTCTAATTATTCTTGCAACGTTACCGAGACGATTGTCGGTATTCCCGTAAACCGAGAAAATATTAATGACAGCGGTAATAATGACGAAGGTAGTAATAATCAAAAATTAATAATGTGCTATAATTTTAATAATAGAACTACCATGCAGTTGAACTGATTTTTAAGCATTCTTTTATAGAAACCATAGAACTGCGTTGATTAAGACGACAGTTAAGTTATATTTTAATTCGTATATCAATAAATCAACTATTTTAATTATTTCTTGAAGAAGCATTTATATGCCTTCAATTATTACGAAAGAATAAATTTTCAACATGATTCAACAAATACATATATTACTCAGTTCATTCGAATTAAAAGTAAAAATTATTCCTCTGTAATCGACTATTATACTTGAAAGGAAATATAGGCAAAACATATGCTTAGAATTTTTCTCTTTTTCCGATAAATTATTAATGACAAAGTAGCCGTATCGATCAGGGTTGAGAGAGAAATCATAGACCAAGGGATTAACCCTTTGCACTCGTGAGCTTTCCACTAGAAACATTCGACACTTTGAACTAATGAGGACACATACGGAAATCGAGAGACAAAGCCATTTTATAGAAACATTTCACATATCGATGCATCATGTAAAACTTAATGTTATATGTAACACTTTGTAATTTTGTTATATCAAATGAAATGGTGACTGAGACTCGCCTCTCGGGTGCAAAGGGTTAATATTCCCAAGTGAAACGGAACGTCGAAGACGATTTGTAGCAATGCGAAGCAATAAGCGCGAGAACACATTTCTACCCAGCGCAAAAAAGGTCAACCGGTGGAAGGAGTCTCGTAGAAAATTGATCTCGCGTAATTTCGATGTAAACGCGCGAAGAGAAACTAGTTTAGTTCATTTGAATAACAACTACCACTGTCAGGGTAATTTCCTCTGTCCGCTTTTTTCCGCTTTTTTTCCTCAATTCCAACAGCGTCGCAATTTAGATCTCTTTAACACGTTGAATGACGTACGATTTGATAGAGCAAAATACACGAAATGGAAGAAATAAAATATTAGATCATTTAATTAAATTGCATTATTAGTTGTATACAATTATTATATAATTAACTATATAATTGCGTAATTATATATTTATTATTGTATATTCATCAATCTGAATGTCACCGCAAGTAGCATTACTTAGAATATTATTATCAATGTTTCAATTGATTAAAATAATTCGTTAAAATAACTTCCACGTTTCTTTACAATTTGTCCAATAGTGGATATTTGGTAAATTTGTTTATCCTCTTGTGATTGTAGCGCGTAGACATTTATCACGCTGAATAAATGTCAGAGTCGATTATATAGAATGTAGAAGTGTTTTCAAATATAATCATCGTTTAATCGAGTGAACTATAGTAATTCAATTTGGTCGGGGATCACCGATGACATTCAACGTGTCAACAGGGGGAAAGTGAGACTGCCAGTAAAGAGGAAAATTATTCCGCGTGTCGCCAACAATGATAAAGAACCTGATAAGGTGGAGGGGGGAAGTCCACCCCAGTTTTTAGTAGGTTTGACTTTCAACCCATATATCTTTAATTTGTTTCATAATTCTTTAACATTTATTCAAATCAACGAATAATTGAATTAATACGCTTTAATTAACATTGACAAAAACGCCTATTTCACTTGTATATTTTAATTTTTTATGAAAATTGTGAAAAATCCAACAACTGTGCACTTTCCCCGAAAATGGGGCATGTGCGCAACCGATCATTAAAACCGATTAGAAGCCTTATATCATATTCTACGAGGCAAGAGTATGACTATTGATATGTTTGCTATAAAATACTTTTTACCGCATTCAAATATGTTGTTTCGTTTTAGAGTAAAGCAGATAAATAAAATAAATAAATAAATACAAAGGAATTAGTGAAACGTATTTATTCAACGTAGCTAATTACTATAAGTATATTATTCAGAGATGTAAAACAAGAAATAATCAAGCAGGACATTTTCTGGGGCATGTGCACAGCCATATGCTCTTACCCCACCACAAGGGACGCACTTGCCCCTTGTCTCAATATTCACAAGATAAGAGCACACTACTGTTTTTCCCAATAAATTTCAATAATTCAACGGAAATTATTTATTTGAAGTGAAATATAAACAATATTCGTTTTGGAGTAAGGCAAATAAATAAAATAAATAAATAAATAAATACAAAGGAACCAGTGAAATGAAATCGTAATTTAGAAAGATCTAAAATACATTAATAGTAATGGTGTAATGTTAAATGTTAAAAAATGATATTTTTGAACAAATGCATCAATCAGAATAAATGTATTAATAAGAGCCCGTTTATGCACAGAACTCATTAACTTTAGATTTTCGTCGTATAGGTATACACTGGAACGATGCAATAATTCACCAAAACTGAAGCCTTTATCGTCGAATCGATTTTTCTCGTCCACGATTTTCATTCGTGCAACTTCTACGACATAATCGGTTCATTCTTCGGCACAACGGAGCGAACAGACTCCTCCGTTTGTGAAACTTTACCCACCAATCACGTCAGTCGCGTTTCCTTTCTTCGGAAGAGAGGAAATTTTTCCCCGGAACTTTTCTCGTTCGATTATCTTATTCGACGATTTATGAAACAAATCCTTTTATCGTTACTTCTACTTCATCCACTGAATCCTTCTTCGAATCGTTTCCCGATTAACCCTTTGCGAATGCAGATTCTTCGAAATATAAAAAACCTTCAGCAGATGAAGATAAATTATACATCGGTTGCTTAACCCTTTGTACTCTGTAGGCTCCAATATTGTACCAGTTATAATATTAAATATTTTAATGAATCATAAAGAAACTACCCTAAAATTATCAGATTCTCCACACATCCAAATGTTGTACTAAGAAGGAAAATAAAAGATCGAAGGAATGTTATAGCATTTCTCATTTTCGCTAGGAATACTATAAAAATTAGTTGCTGTTGCTGATAGTTTACGAAACAACCTGGAGTGCTAAGGGTTAAATCATTTGAAAAGGGAAAATACGTACAACTGATCTGTTGTTCGAGTGATTAACTCGCTTGTTCGCTGCTTAGCGTTGCAAATATGAAAATTTCATCTTGAAACGTTGACATTCGTCCGCAAGGGGTATATCAAATTAATGGAGTTGGTTTCTCTGGAAGAGAACTTGCACCCCCACCTCGGAGAAACTAGTTTCACTACAATCAATGACTATTATCTAAATGAAATTCGAGTTCATGTATTATAAGGAATACAACCGCGAAAAATGAAGATGGAGACGAACATTTCTAGCGTAATATGAAACTTTAGCACGTGAAATGCCATGTCAGTCCCCATTGACTGAGGCTTCTGAATTACTTGGTAACAATCGTAACATGCAAAGTCATCGATGTCGAATCAAAATATTTAATAACGTAACTAAGTTGATAATAGTGTAATGTAAAGATTGTAACGCCAAATAGTGAATAATTGTTGCTGCTCTACTTTGCTAAAAAGGACAACCGTACTGAAAAATGGTCAAGATCATTACTTCATTACTTTTGAACCAATATTCACTGTCAAACAGTTTCAAGTCCTTGGTCTACAGAACAAACGAGAGTTACTCTTTCTGTAAATGAATACGAAATCCTCCATTTCCGAATATATTTTGCGAATAAAAAAATTCAGGCCGAGCGGTAACAGGAAAAAGTTACTTAGAATCAAATTCCCCACAATATACTTTAAAGTCATCCAAATCGATGAGGAATCAGCGTTGCAAATAATTACCCATCTATCAATATTGCATTATTATCTAATACTTCTGTAACTAAATATTCTTCTTTGTCCTCATCGAAATCCGGTCGTCGGTGACCAGCGTGGTTGTCAACACTAAAACTACCGAGCAGTTAAATTGACTTTTTCAAATGTCTCTATATAAACTCCAAGAGTACATCCGTGGAGACTTTAATTAATTTATAATTCGGTTTGTGTATTGCTACATCAATTTCTCTAATAATTTCTCAGAGGAACACCTGTCACCTTTCTAATAGTTGGAAGAAAAAGAAATCAGGCGTTGGCCAATTTAAGCCATCTGATAGTTTCAGTGTTAACGCGTTAAGAATAATTAGAAGTTACTTACAAAAGCTAGTACAACGATTACACGTTGAAAAGAGGGTTTCAAGTTTCACCCTTTCGGGAACGATAATTCCCTCTCTCAAACTTCAAACGCATTGCAACGTTTCCAGGCTCGAGTAAAATAAGTACCTGTTAAATTACGATCGTCGAACAATGCGATCAACAGGGACATTTCTCTTTTCTGTTCGATTAAATGAAAAATCCGGGGAACGTTGAATATTCGAGAGCTCGAATACACGATGGCGGCGGTTTCTATATTGAGTTGAGATCCGTTCAATTAAAAAAAATCGCTCGGAACGCTAGATCAATTATATTTGCGCGGTGATGCAAGGCTGAAAATCGTGCCGTACCGAAAAAATCGTTCGTCCGTTCGCAGAGTTCGTGAAAAAAGTAATCCAGCTGTACGAGACGACGGTCGTGCGACACGGATTGATGCTGGTGGGTCCGACCGGGTCGGCGAAGACGAAGGTAAGTGCTAGGCGCGATCCACTCGAATTAAGTCGACGGGTGAAGATTCTCGGTTACGGATCGTGTGATAGGAAATCCGGAACAGGACCATGCTCCCTATTCATTTCTACCGGATCGTTAATATTTCAACGAGACACCGGTGCCGGTGGGAAATCCGTTCGAAAGGATTTCACGCTTGTCCGGGAGGAAACGTACAGGGTGTTTGCGAAATCGTGATGCTAAGATAACAGTGTAACGTAAGAAGTGCGGTAGCATATTTGCTAATAATAGAATATAAGTAAATATAAATAAATATATTTATATCTATTTATATTTATATATTATAATATATTTATATGTATATTTATATGTATATATATATGTATGTTTATATGTATATTTATATTTATATTTATATTTATATTTATATTTATATTTATATTTATTAATTAAGCATTCTTCCTTTTTATCTTTGCTACATAAAGAATAAGCGACACATAGAACGCTAATATTTTTCGTTGCAGTCAACATGTTAACCTCCCGACTGTTACCAGATTTGATTTTGCAACAATGTGTTAGTAATCGTGACTCGGAATTAAATGGGTTAGATAAATAACTGAAAGGAACTTCAGCTGTTTATTTGAATTAATAGAAACATCACTGAACTGTTACAATACACGACACACAGAAAATTCGGATCTCCCCAAAAAAACTAAATCTATCTTCTCCGAACACAAAATACAGAGAATCCAAAATTAAACAGAACTCCGTACTTCTTGCGTCAACAGTTTCAAATAATAAATAATAAAATTCTTCCCCTATGAATAGAAAATACAGAGAATCCGGGATTAAATAAAACCCGGTACTCCTCTCGTCGGTAGTTTCAGCTAATTAAGATTAACGCGAAACGAAACGGCGACACCTTCAGCGTACAATGAAACAGCGATTGCAGTAACAAGTTTTCTCCCTTTGCAACGAGCAATTCTTTCTCAATTCAGTAACACTTTAGAAAGCTTGTTTCACCGGTACTTCTCGCGCGGGTCCTCGTTCGCTTCGTAATTGCGAACGAAGAGTGGCACACGAGAAATAGAAAAATTGAATTCTCCGGCTGGAATTCCATCGCGATAGAACCGACACGGTGTTCGATTTAATATTTCGAGAAATTGCGATTCGTTACGTTGCACCGACGAAATTCTATCAACGTCACCCATTGTTTCCAATCTCCTTCAATCGAATGATTAAATATTAACATTCACAGCCCGCCTGTTAGCGTTTTAGATGTCAAATAAGAGATTTCAATGTTTCCTTTATTCATTTTTATCATTTTCATTGTGTAAGAAAACATACAACGTGCGTATTATAAGAATGTGCGTGTGTTTGTGCGCGTATGCGTTACGAGGAGGGAGATTGCTCTGCGATGCTGCGTTGTTTTTGACCGAACGACGAAAAAGAAAGAAATGAAGATGCAAGTTTGTATCGAGACGAACTTTGCGCTGACGACGAAATAAATTATTATCGACCAAATAAATCTTTATAATTAGGTTCACGGGCTCGTAAAGCTTTTTGTATTCCCAAATCCATCCCGAACTGCTCGGAAGATTCCATTTAACTTCTCCCTGTCGAAAATCTCCTTTGACGATGTCCTTCTACTTGGACGCGATGCTTTCCTTGCTTCATGATATTCAATTGAATAATGGAAGCCCGGAGGCTGTCCAATTCCATCAGCGAAAGTCCCTCGAAACTTCGGAGAATCACGACGGAAATGGCGTCGTTCAGTGGAAAGGGGCTTTTAGTAATAGCGAAACCTTCCTAACAGTTCTCGCCGGTGTCCGAATAATTGGATTTTTGACGGCAGCGCTAACTATTAGATCACTTGAAGGTTAGGCTAAATTCCGCTGATCTCAGCTAATCAGATACCTTTCTTGCTTCTATAAAACAAAGTTTTTAACACATTGTATGCGGGTAACGTAAAAGATCTTCGTGTACCGTAGTACTAAAGTACTAAATTACTAAATAAATACTTGTATAACTTCATTAACATTTTTGACAAGAGTAGATTGTCGATTCCTTTTGCGTGTGATTGAAGGTATTTCCATTTGCAATGGAAACTCTCGAAAATATGTTGAATAATAAATAAATGAATTGAATGTAACCGATATCAGTTGAAATGAACAAAATGGCCTGCACGCAATGTGTTAATCAAACCAGTGAACGAGGAATGTTATAGTCACAGTCTCTTTAGGCGGTTGCCTAAGCGCCAGTGGTGTACTGAATCTTACACAGTGACCTATTTAACTATTCTTCTCTGTACAGTCAAACCTGCGTTTGCGCGGTAGATAGGGGGCCGCATGAAAGAAAATGTTCGGAAATTTACGAAATAGCGAGAAAGTGCTTTCTAACAAAATAAATAATTAAATTACACATGGAATCATTTAGCATTAAAAAAAATCGCACAAAATAAATCGCATAGAAAAGGACCGCACAAAAACAGATTTGACTGTATATAATCTGTATATAGTTTACTTCCATAGATACATTTCGTTTTATTAGGTATCAATGATACTTACGATGTAATAGCTTTACAGAAAAAGTGCTCCATTTCTGCCATTTATTATTCTTCTTCATCTCCGACTTACCGTATTTGTAATCCAAAAGTTTTACGACTATTCTGTACATTTTAACTTTGATCAGGCTCTAGGGTCTCTTTTGGCCAAAATCAGGTTTAATTTTTGCTACGATCTTTTTCAACACTAGAACTACCGATCACTTAAACTGACTTTTACCAATTTCTGTGTAAAAACCATAACCGTGCGTTTATTAACCCTTTGCACTCGAGTGGCGACTCTCATTGGCCATTTGATTCGATACGCCGAAATTATGAACACTGAAATTCAATATTCAATTTTAACCTTAGAAATAAATTAGTTCCAACCCTTAATTTATGTAAGATTTACCTGTATGTTACTTGGCAACAGTATTATCAATATTTCAATAGGAAACAATAATTATTTATAACGAAAAATATTGTCGAGTGCCTTAACCCTTTTAAGACTTCAATGGAGCAATACTCCAGTTTTGCTATCACTGAATTAGTTTCGTTAATAATTTTTCGCAGAAGTATACGTACCTTCTCAGTAACTGTAAAAGAAGCAATTATAAATAAATCATTTTGACCCATTTGGTACTTCTTCCATCTTCTAGTGTTAACACTAAAACTACCGAGCAGTTAAATTGACTTTTCGAAATATCTCTATAGAAACTCCAAGAGTACACCTATTGAGACTTTAGTTGATTTATAATTCAGTTTACGTATTGCTGAATCAATTTCCTCAACACTAAATCCAGCAGACGAGAGAAAATGACCCATTCTCGATGTCTTCTTTTTGCAATTATTAAAAAGATAGATGTTTCGCTGGAAAATGATTAAAGAAATTGATTTAGCAATACGAGAACTGATTTATAAATCGATTAAACTCTCAATAGATATACTCTTGGAGTTTCTATAGAAAAATTTCAAAAAGTCAGTTTAACTGCTCGGTAGTTTCAGTGTTAATCATTGTCCAGAGAAACATCTGTTATCTTTCTAATAATTGCAAAAAGAAGACATCAAGAATGGGCTATTTCTTCTTCTGCCATCTTCTAGTGTTAAGGGACGGATGAAGGTTGTCGAGACGATTTTTTTTTCGGTCAGCGTTTAATGGACGCAGATGTCCAGGGACCACCCACGCTCGCTTCAGATTGCTTTCGCGTATCATGTGCCACGATACCACTCGGATCGGTGGCCAATACCATTTAAAGAAAGGACGTCACGTCCGACAGAGAACAGGCCGGAACAAGGCGCGACGATGGGCTCGAATAAAAGCGAAGAGATCCGTTTATTTAGAGAATCGGTTCTGCTCGCTCAGCGGAATCATCTCGCTTGCGATCCAAAGATTAAGCGCCGTTTCTTCCGAGATTCAATTCCGCTCGAGGGATTTCTATTCTACCCGTTGAAATGACGATGATATCTTTCTTCCGTACATTCGTCGTTATTTTCTCGCGGTAACTTGAGAGGTCCCGCAAAATTGAACTCGGTTTCAGGTTCAAAGCTCGAGGAAAATTATTAGAAAGACACGCAAAGTAAAGATTTGAACGTTCTTCTCGTCTACAGCTCGTTTCCGGGTACGCAGTTTGAAACGGTTGATTTCGAAAATATGAAACGTATTGTTACAAAGGTTTTCTTTGTGAAATTTAGTTCGTTTTCGCTGAAATGGCGACGCAATCTTTCTTCCCTACATTCGTCGTCATTTTCTCGCGGTAACTTGAGAGGTCCCGTAAAATTATCTCGGTTTCAGGTTCAAAGCTCGAGGAAAATTATTAGAGAGACACGGAAAGTAATGATTTCTACGTTCTTTTCGCCTTTAGCTTGTTTCCGGGCACGGAGTTTGAAACAATTGATTTCAAAAGCAAGAAACGTGTAGTTACAAGTCTTCTTTCTAAAATTTAGTTATTTTTCAGATACAAAGTTTGAAGAAGTTCATTCCGAAAACACGAAACAAATTCACGAATCTCGTCCCGCAAAATTCGATCTCGAAAGTATGAAAAATAAAATCGGGCAAAATATACGATCACCAGGTTTCGTAGAAATCGTCGCGAACGCGTCCGTTTGTTGGAGGGCTCTCGTCTCACTTCGAATTCTATAAAAAACAAAGAAGATTACAAACAAAGGACATTTTAAAATATCATATCTCCTTAAGAAACGTTGCGAAAAAAAGATGAATATTTTCGTTTAAATTCTTTTCCGAGTATTTGTTTGATGGGGAATTGACAGCAATAACATTGACCACATTTCACATTATATGTATATATAACATATATGTCTATATATATGTATATTACACTGGACACTACATATTTGATCGAATAATAGTGCTCGTATTGTATACAATGAATAAATTACAGTACAATATTTACATACGATGACGGTGCTTGAAAGTAGTCGATTCCCTAGTGTAAAAGAAGATCACGTTTACGGATGCAAATTGGTTCACATTCATCGATAACAACCCTCCTTCGTAACAGCGCACACATTCAACGCGCGGGTCTTCGGGGATCACGCGCATACACACATACACCCGCACAGTTTCCTCGTTTTTACAGTACAGACGATTACTTCGCTTTAACTTTACTTTCGCAACTTTCGATCGTTCCTGAAAGACTCTTCGATTTCTTGAATTAACTTAGCCTCCCTCTTTCTCTCTCTTCCTCTTTCTCTCTCTCTCTCTCTCTCTCTCTCGTTCTGCTTTGAATTACCAAATTCGAACGAGTCGTCGAAGCGTCTCTGAAATCGCGACAAACGAATTATTTACCATCCAAAAAGGTTCGTGCAGTTCCGCGGAAATGATTCCGAGGTTATTAATCGTTCGGAAATGATCTATTTCAAAATTCGCAAATCATTGGCCACTCGGAAATGATCTGTTTAGAAATTTGTAAATTATTCGTTTAAAATAATCAAGAACATACGAGAATTATCATGGAAACAATTGTTTTGTAATCTATCAGCGACTGCAACTAATTTTTATAGTACTCCTATCGAAAATTAGAAATGCTATAACATTCCTTCGATCTTTTATTTTCCTTCTTATCAGAAAATTTGGATGCGCGGAAAATCGAATAATTTCAGGGTAGTTTCTTTAAGATTCATTGAAATATTTAATATTACAACTGGTGCAATATTGGAGCCTGTTGAAAGAATTAAAACGATCACTTTTCAACGTGACGAAGGCTTGCGTGTTTCGTTTTATAAAGTTACTCAAACTTTCCTCGAAATTTACCGAAGACTGCACCAACCATTTAGCTTCCGAATACTTCGGTCCATTCTTCGTTGAACAGATTATGAAGATCTTCCGGTAAAGAATAAGGTAAAAATTCCTTGGAATTCCATCTCTTTTGTTCAATATTAAATTCTCGTTAAATTCAATATTACATTCTTTGGTTTTAGTGTACAAACATTCATTATTATTATTTTTATTATTACTGTTATTGTTATTATTATTCTTATTATTAATATTACTATTATACTGCGAATCTTTATGGAAAACATAATTTTCTTAATACAGTTTAGGAAGGCTGGGATAGAACAGAAGTTTACATCGTCTATTAATGGTTTCGGTGTGTTAACGTTGAAATATAGGCATCATTAAATTTTGCAACATTTCACAGTTTATTACGTTCGTTCGATTTCCATCCTCTATAAATACACAAAAATCCGCAGTCTAATAATTATTTTCCACGAGTCCTCCTCTCGATTTTGACACGATTTCGGGGACACCCGATACGTAGCCGAAATTATATAATACATACTCCAGTGCTCAAACGCTTCGCCTCGTTCGCGAAATGCAACGAACGCTCTTAAGTTATTTTTTTTTACCGGTCGGGTTACGAGTTCCATGCAAATTCATACTTTCAAGATTCAACGATGCTTGTCCGGTGATCGTTAAACTAATTAGTATATTGTTCAAGGGGAAATAACAAATGTTTACCTTAAACTGCGTAATAATCATATTTGCCACGTTTCAATGTTTCTCTCTGAGTCGTTTGTAAAATAATTAATATATTTATTCGAGAGAAAATAACGAAATCGTTGTTTCGTGGAACGTAAGAATAATATTTATCCAGCCGTTTGTAAAATAATTCGTGAATTTATCCGGAAGATAACAACGAAATTGTTGTCTCGGGAAACGTGTCTCATAATAACAGTTTTCACGTTCCAATGTTCCCTTCTGGGTCGTTTTTAAAAGGCTCACAATGCATTATGTATTCTATCACCTCGAATTATGTAATAATTGCTTCAAGTTCGCCATAATCGCTGGCTAATGAAACTGTGTACGTGACAGCGGCCGTTAAAATTGTTTCGACGAAGCACTGATGTTATACCTAATAAGAGTCTAAAACTTTCTGCGAGGCTTGTCACATTTCGTGACAAACTTCTAAACACTCTCTGACAGTTAGATCTATCTCCGTCTTCTTTATTAGATATCTGGAGACATTGACACGTCGGCCACCGAATCAGCGTTCGTCGAAATCCCCTACCATCAACACAATTTTCTTAACGAAACAGAAACAGGAAACCTGACATTCTTCGTGGAGATTCCCTTCTGGTGTCTTATGAACAGAATAGAATTAGTTTCGTCGGATATATCAAGAAAATCAGTCGGAATTCGCGTGACATAGCAATCCTTTGCAGACGAGAATTGGAATTTCAAAACTCTTTTCCGTATGAAGCTAAATTATATTTCAAACTCTTAACCCTTTGCACTCGAGAGGTGACTCATTCACCGCCAGATTTCATACGGTGAAACTGTAAAATTAGATATTTAATATTATACCTTGTATAACGCATCAATTGGAGAAATATTGAATTAAAATAGCCTTTTCTTCTAATGTACATGATTTCTCTTCCACTTAGTTTCACGAAATATCGTGTTTATCTCGTCAGAAAATGTTCAAATATTTCTACTGAAAAACTTCCGAGTAACTTGCGATTTTCGATATAAAAAACGCAATGTCGCCAATACGAAGGCATTCGTCCGAAGCAGATCGATCAATCTAGATTCAATCGAATCTAGAACTGTTCGAAACCCCGATGAACGAAGCATTTATTCCAAACTATTTCGTGAACGTAAAAATTTACCGAATAATGTTTATAAAATTCTATACACGTGAAAATAGTGTTAATCGAATATTTCTCAACTTTCGAACTCGATCATCTTTGATAAACGAACAGGTTAAGTGTACACTGAATATTCGTGATTTTCCACGGTAATTGTAAACAAGGGAAAAGTGGCAGATAACGATGTGTGCCGAGGCTGTCTCTCTTTTCCGTTGTCGCAGCGTGAAGTGTTGCGTTGGAAAGATCAACAACAACGATCTCCTCTATCAAGCGCCGGAGGTCGTTATCTCGAGACAATTATTTATGGTGTGCGCTCCACGCGATAAACACACATCGCATTGATAACAAACTCGCCACCGTTATAACGCTGCCGCGATGTTTCGCCCGGTATGCGAGAACTGTTCATTAACACGCGATCCTGACGCAAAATCTGAATTTGCATGAACGTCGGAACCCAACGGCGATAATCAACTCTCTCTCCTCTGTGATGTGTCTAACGCTAGAACTACCGTACCCGTAGAAACAACGACTCTCAATTGTCTCGTTGTGCGATTATTGTTCTATTTAGCAAGTACTTATTTACAATAATATTCATTTGGATATTTTCTTAGTAATACTCATGTAAATACTATCGGAAATGATCTCGAAAGCAAATAGTTTCTAAAATCGGAAAAAATTCACGTGTCAACCCCGATGAACTCGGTAGTTCTAGTGTTAACAAAACTCGACGACTTACCTCGTGGCGAACAATTTGCCGAGAAGGCAAAAATTCCATGCTCGTTCCGTTCACTCCGAAGTGTAAGGATTGGCAACAGCTAAAACGATATTTCGTATGAATCCGAAAGGATTCCGCGTTGTTCACGCAGGAAGTCGATCATTGAACGCGTTTAACCGTTCGCAGACGAGGATTTGTGCAGTTATTTAAAGACTTTCAACGTATAAAGCTAAATTATATATAAAACTCTTAAATATTAGAAGAAAGAGTATTATACACTGATCTTCCTTTATCCGAACAATTAAATTATTTATTTACAACTTCTCCCTCGAGAAATGAAACCTTGATGCCTCTGAAATGACATTCGTTCCCAATGGGTTAACACTAGAACTACCGCTTAAACTGTCTTTTCAAAGTTTCTTTATAAAAGTCAATGTGTAGTCATCAAGATTTCAACTGACTATATCTGAGTTTCGATATTACTAAATAAGCTTCTTCAATAATTCCTCGAACAAGTATCTGCACGTTGTCGGTGATTACAAAAGAAGGAATAATCGATTGGTCAATTTAACGTATCTAGTAGTTCTAATGTTAATCTAGCTCGATGTGGAACGCGTCGCGTTGCTTCCGGAAGCTCGTTCATCGATATCGTTCTCCCGTGACTCTCGAAAAATCTTTAGAATGTTACGAATATTCAACGTTTCTTATATTTTTCTTATCTCCAATATATTTTTATCGAGACAATGTCCCGCGATCGTCTCCGGTGCGCCGAATGCTTCGCGTGAAAGTGGAAATCGGTTCGTTCGGCCGTTTCGTGACCATAAACCAGACGCCTCCTGAGGTATTATCGTTTTCAATACTGCAACGTTCGTCCCTGGCCGCGAAGTGGTTGGCAAACCGTCTGCGTCTCGTTCAGAGGATGCTCACAGAATCAGCGAGATCATCGTTCCAACGGCGGCGGCGCCGTCGGAACGACGGTCTCATCTATCGCTGCGGGTTGCAGTGGTAAGTGGTCAAGCTCTTGAACACCTTGCGCATCAGCTGCTGGAGACACCGTCGGAAAGTGACGCCGCACATCGCGTACAGCAGGAAGTTGATGCTGAAATTCGTGTAGTAGAGTAGCATGAAGAACTGCTGCAGACACCAGAGCAGGTCGGGCTTGTTCTTGTGGGCTAGCGTAAAGAAGAACACGCACAGCCGGATCACGTAGCTGGAAGTAAACAGGGAAATCCATTTTTAACCACGCTCGAAACCAGCCTCGTCCTCTTCCCCTACATTCCTCGAGTAATTCCTGTATTCCTGGGAATTTAATTGCTCCTCTGATACGATATGAATTCCTACATATTCAATGCTCACTAAATTCGTACGAATTGAATAACTTCCGTTGGAATGGAATCCTTAGATATTAACCCTTTGCTCCCCAGAAGTTTGTCATTGGACTTAATACTTCCTAACGAGATGCAGATGACATTTTCTGAAATTGCACATACGTTGATGAAGACTATTCCCTTTCGATATTTCGCATATTGATGCACTGTACAGGATTTAGTATTAAATGTCGAAATTTACAATTTTTCTGTGTCAAATCAATTGACTGAGAGGCGCCTCTGAAGAGCAAAAGGTGGAGATTAGTAAATCATTGGGAATATAACGACTCCTGCCGAGTAATTTCTAGATTAGCGGAATCGATGAATTCTTACGTATCTAATGACTTTTGTAATGGTTACTAAAATCGTACAAATTGAGTATCTTTTTCTAGGATTGAATCCTTAGGTATTAATGTACTCTGACGTAAATCACTGAAAATTTGATATCTTCCGCGGTAATTACTAAACTCGTTTAGGTGTAATCGTTTCTGTAGTAATTACTGTGCCATTAGAAACTTGATTGCTTCCATTAGTAATTACTGAAACCGCAGAAAATTACTAACAACCGTAGCAACGGTTCGATCGCTAGAAGTGTAACAGCTTCTGCGTTCCTAAATTAGTAGAAATTTGGTGATTCGTTTAATAATGGCTTCGGTAGTTCCTAGATTCCCAGGAATTTAATCGTTCCTTTTAATCTTTCATATAATCCTTAAATATTCAGTAACTCCTTTAGCCATTCCGATTTACGAATTTACTAATAATGCAAGCGTTCCCTCTTTCAAAAATAATCTTCACCGTTCAAAACTGACTAGCACAGATTGTTAGCCAAGAAGACAACAAACCGAGAAACCCACACGAAGGAAGTGTTGACTGACCAGTGGTCGACTTATACTACTTGCACGCAGTCGAAAGCCAATGTGCAGAGAAAACTAACAATACGTTGAATACAGTAACTAAACCGCGAGACTTTATGCGCGTGCAGCTTGTAAAAATACTGAATGAAGAATACAAAACGAAAAATTCCGTACAATCGAAGATTCGTTTCATTTGCCTTCCGATTTTCCGAGGCAAACCGCGAAGAAAGCATTCAATGTTACACAATTTCTTCGATCTTGTCTAAAGAAACGCTTGTTTGCACAATTTTTGCGGTGTACACCTTCGTATTTATTCGTCACAATTCCACCGGAATGCAGCTACAAAACGGGAAATCGGTGGAACTAGTGCTCACCTCGGTAAATTCAGTAGAATGAAGACGGTACTTATCAGCAGCAACGTCTTCGTATTCCCTTGTTGATTCCTCCTCGACACGAGGTTCCTCGAGGACGACTTGGTGTCTGTAAAAAAAGAAGAAAAGCGACCATCGAACAGTGAACGCATCGTCGCAGCCAACAATCTCCTTATTTCTGTCCGACCACGATTTAGAAAGTAACAGCCAATCGATCGCGTGTATTATTATCACGAGCTATTACCGTAATGAATACCTACAATTCTGGTGGGCGTACGCAGCAATGACTGTAATGCGTTTTATCATTATACTAACCACTTTCACCACCTATAAATTTGTTCTACATGAATCTCACTGTTAGACCACCTACGTCTGAAAATGGCGACGCGATTGAATGAGGAAAACTTGATCAATTGAAATTTTTCTCATCAACTTTAATTGAACTCACGCGACAGATTTTTAAAAATCGTGTTTCATCAAAGCGAAACAGCTATTCAGTGAATCGTGAATGCGTACTAAATAAAAAGGAAGGACTAAACGAGCTAAATAGCAATGCTCTGCTAACGGGAAAATGTTAAAATAATTCAGTGATCCGAACGAAATTACTGGAAACGGCTGAACCGCTGAACGATTGCGCGTCAATCGCGGGTGCAAAAGCCAGATCGCGTCAAAACCCACGACTCCGATGTCCGAATCAATTTAGCTTGGATGTAAAAGGCCGAGCCGACATCCGCGAACTCAGGAATTTCGGGGAACGAAATTTGGAACGAGTCTTATCGACAAACGTGGCAAGTTTGAAAGCGTATCAAGGATCATTGGTCGTCGAGCGTGGGCGGACTCTGGCGGAACGGAACACGAACTCGATCGGCAGGATTAAACGGACACACGTTGGAATCGACAGCGACGTCGCTAGCGAATGATCGAACGAACTCATACGCGGAACGCGAAGTTCTGCTTTTTTACGCCGGAAACGCGTATCGAAAGAACGCCGAAAGGAACGAAATTGGATTTTTCGGGGTCGCAGTAAACCCGTTCGAAATCTTGTGGCCCAAGGTACGTCGATGTTATCGGATTAAATATTTTTTCATGCCTTTTAGTTGTCGTGCAGCTGCTGGAGGATTATTCACAAAAGAAAAATCTGTATTGTGAAAAAGTTCGTTCTTCCGAGAGGATTTTTGAAAAGGTTTCGATGTTCCGTTCTTCGAATGATTGAATTCTTCGTTTGCAATCTTTTCGTTCTATACGTGATGATTCAATGCTACTCGATTATGGTTTCAAGTTACTGGAACCAATAGCGGCAACACTGAAGCAATTAACCACATCTATATCGTGTCCATGAAAACGTCAACACGTAAACTGCCGATGACAGGTGCTTCAAAATTGCTGAAGAACAATTACAATGAAAAGCTTCATTTCAAATGAAAATATTTAGTAACATAAGTAACTAGATCATAGCGTAATATGACCACTGTGATACTAAGTAATAATTATTTTCAATATCATTCGCCTTTGTCATTAAAATTTAATGAATCAATTTTATTTCATTATCAATGGCTACACAATTTCTTTTACTGTCCAATTTTAAATTCAACAAAGCATTGACATTTTCTAAGATATTAAATATTGACTAGTTATAAATAAAAGGTTTACACTAAATTAAGCACAAATTACGCGATACCTCGTTTTCTTTATAAAATGTGCTTACACCATTTTCAAAATAAACGGTCCAAATAATAAGTGTTGCTATTCAAAACGCTGGAAATTCTCGTGGCAGTCAACGTGTTAAACAGAACTGAACCATCAATATTACTCAACTCTTCCGAATTCAACTGAAATATCTCTTTTATCGATCATCATGCTACAGAGCGAACATGGACATAGAATCTGCCTCGAATTTCTCGCATTTTCCCAACAATCAATGACGGTCGGTCAATATCAAGGAAGAACCTCGGAGCGAGGGGTTAGTTCGGTATTACAGTAATTCGACTTGTGACCCTAACAACAGTGAACCCGCTAAAGACGTACGCGCGCTGCGTATGTATGCGTCGTCGGAGTGGCAGTATCGAGAGAGAAAGAAATGTATTTACTTACGTATACAGCGAGCAGCTATTTCGGGCAGCTGGCAGACATTACGCGGCGTGGACGGCGGCACCGAGTTCGTCTGATGCCGGGAATGATGGGAATGGTTGTTCTTCGACGAGTTAAAAGATTGCTGCGAGGGTATCCTACGACCTCCGGGCATTGGTCCCAGATTGACGCCGCCGCCGCCATTGTTGCTGGTGCTGGCACTCTGCAAATTGATGCGGCAAGTTCAACGCGGCGTACAGCGGACAATCAGCTAACCCCTATTGTTAACGAACAACTCAAAGCTGTTCACGGCCGATCAACGTTGCGTTGTTGTCCATCGATCGTTAGTTGGACGATTAGCTACAAACGAACCGGTCACAAGGGCAAAAGGACTCCTCCATTCACAATGTCCCACTTGTTAGGTAGCTATGGCAACAGTGATGCCCCAACTGTGACAAGTCGTTACTGGTCGGGAGGCACAACGGAGAACGCAAACGAAACTGAATGTAAAATTATAATTGAGGAGACCGAAATAAGCGCTGGCAGCGAACGTGTTAACCCCTTGCCTTACAATAACGTGTGAGACCCGTGGCGAAGATTTTAAACAGACTTTAACAAATATAAATATCACGCAGTTCTCGTGAATTCCAATGAAATACTATTTTTCTGTTATAAATTATATTGCAGAGCAAATTTCGACGTAGACCATACATCGAATTTTTCTCTGTTTCCAATAAATTATTAACGACAAACTTGCGATGTTGATCACAGTTGAGAAATCAATCGTGGGGCAAGGGTTAAGAAACTACCGATTGAGGAAACGCGGGATTATCTTACAAAACAGAATGCGACGAAGCGAGATACGACAGAGAATGAACATGGAGGTGAATTTCCTATTTACACTTTTCCCGGTCGCGTTGCTCTATTGAGCAACTCTAGAACAGCAGTGATCTCAGATGTCACGCATTGTTGTTATTAGCTGAACCGTGTAACAAAGAAACCAGACGATACAGAATACGACAAAGTGTAATGTAACCAACATTCGTATTTCGTTTTGTCTTATCTTTATGGAGTCCTAGGGACACAAGGGTCCGAGTACAATGTTTCTTGGAAGGACCTACATGTGTAAGGAGATCTCTTGATGTCTAGGCCGGGGAATATGGGTCTGAATAGCCGAAATGGAGCGCAGACCCGTCCATTGTCTCACGTGTTTACGACTCTGGCGTGAGATCTTTTAGAACAGTCACACACACACTAAGTCCGTCGCGTCAAGCAGCACAGCAAGAGATCCCCTGTTGCTGTTATGACGTTTTAGCTTTGGGTAGCCGACGCATGGAGTGCCTACTGAATGTATAGTGTCCATCGTGGCCACGTGGCGATCGTATGGAAATTGGCGGTTCCAGAGTGCCCGAACTAGGCTCTAACCAAGTGTTGACGCTCGGTGTCCCAAACTGAAACACCGTTACGTCAACGTTCCTCTAAACCTTTCAAGGGATCGTAGCTCAAATAACTTTATGAAGCCATCGACCATTACCTTCAACAACCACCCTCAGCTGTTCGAGGATTAGTATTTTTGCATTTCAGATATTTACTCTTTGCACGTTTTATTAGGATTAAGGAGCTTCATACAGTTTTTCACCTACGGTCGAGGCACGCGGAATGTCCATGACGTCACGCGAAGGTACTCTCGATACCTGCAGGTGACCGATGGACTTGGAGGCGGTCAACTCTCCGGTGACCGTCACCAACCAGGAAAAACGGCCTCCTCCCGGTCCAAAACGTAGAAATCTAGGAAACGACCAATCCGCGTGTCTCATCCCCCGACGCTACCCTTACGGCCACCTATTTAAGGGTAGATCTTAACACATATCAGCGAATTTCTAACCAAGAGTTCCACGGAGTCTCTAACGAAGAGCTCCTCCACAACACAAATCGACGGAATTTCTCATCAAGAATTCCACAACTTAACATATCGACATCGATCCGGTTACAACTCAACGAAAATCTCATTATTTATCATATTTCATTCAGGCTCAGCATCACTAATCTGAAACTGAGCCAGAGCATCGCCGTATCGAACTGCGAAGCTCAACACCAAGCCTTGGTGTGGACACCTCGATCTGGCAGGCATTGCTTACGCATGTATGTGTGAAGCCGAACAAGTCCCATCGATAGACCTACAATAATTGATACTACAGGGTCCAGGTGTCCGTGGGCAATGCAATGTAACCCGTCCGGACATAGGCATTGGCTTCGTAGTGGCAGTGGCTGCAAGCCCGTTTCGGCGCGTGAGCAACATCCCACCTGCTCCTGGACCACACAGGAAATCTGGTAAAGTTTTGGAATGTGAGCTCGGCGCTACCATGAAAGTCATCCCCGGGAAGCAACACTGGTAAGGCTACAGTCTCAGCTGATTGAGCTTAACACGTTGACTGCCACGAAAACCTTCAGAGTTTTATTATTCTTTTGTAACAAAGATAGGGAGGAACTGTTGCTTATTATTTGCTATCGCAATGCTTACGTCACACTGTTATATATATAACTTACGCTATGAAATATTTCCATTCGACATTAGTTACATGACAAATTAAACTACTGTCAAGTAATTTGAAAGCTCCGGTCATCGGAGACCGACGTGGCAGTCAACGTGTTAATCTTCCACGCCCATGGGGGTCCTCTTTGGTAGGCCTTCATGGCAGGAACTTAGAGGATGATCGAGATTCCCTCTGTGTGTACAGTGCGTTACTGACATGATCCCTGTGGCCCAAGAGTGAAGAGAGGCAGGAAAGCAAAAGTAATTCGGCCGCATGCTCCACCTTGTTTCTCTTCACTTTTAACCCTTTGCGAACGAATGCCGACGTTTCAACGAGGCGAAATGTTCATATTAAGAAGACTAAATCACAAACGAATGATTGAATTACTCAAACAGCAAAATACCAGCGCAAAGTTTCCTTCTTTCCTACTGATTAAGCAATTGGTAGATAATTTACCTTCGTCTGTTGAAGGTTTCGTACCTTTCAAAGAATCTTCGTCCGCAAAGGATTAAGCCTGGGATCGTGTCAGTAACGCACTGTACAATTGCATTTCAGTCGGATCGCTCACAAAACATTGTCCGGCTAATGTGCTCTTTATTGAAATTCAGTCCACGAATCGGCGATACCGTATATTAACCGAATGGACAGACACGACCCAGTTCATAGGTACCATCATTAACGCTTAAACTGGCGATCGATCAGTATTCGGTGACACAATTGATTGTACAAATATAGATACCGTGTTTACTAGAGAAACATGAACTGAATCGGGGTATAAATTTGTCCGAGTGATAATCTTATCGATCGGTAAACCGATATCCGCTAAAATCCTGTGAAATCCCAGCTATATACTTCGTAAGATACACTATGCAATACGAGATAATCCTTGTTTCAAATACTTTGCACGTTTGGAACCATAATGGAGTCCGATTGATTCTCTCAATGCGTCACTATCAAAATTAATCTTTAATAGCTTTCAAGCTCGAAATCCTTACTATTATCGGATAATCCAGCTTCTCGTCCCCTGAACACGCGCCAATGGTACTTCCAGGGGTGATTAAAATTCCGGTCGAAATGAAGCGATGAAATTCCTCAGGGGCAACTCATTGCTTAGACGTAGCAATTAGAAAAACTGGTGAATGGGCAGTAAGCTAATAATAATATAGTGATTTCTCGACACGTCGACGGAATGCTCAGTGTTCTATACAATATTAATGACACTTTCATTACAAAGATAAATGGTGTTACAAATAATTACTAAACATTTGGTACCATAGCCTCTACGCTACACTATTATTTTATTACTCACGTTACTAAATACTTTTATTCTTACCGTTTCATCTCACTTTCAAGCAATTCCATGGCATGATCAACACGTATACGAAGTCAGCCATGACACGTTAATATTTTAACGACTTTTAAGCTCCCTTTCCAAGGAAAACCGTTCAAAAAGCCCGTCCCTTAGAAACTCGTTTCAATTCAGTTCTCTATGGGAAATATTTAAAAACTTTCTTGAAAAATATCCCCACCCTCGAACGATTAAACAAAAATTCGCGGTCCGACACCCGGGGTTACAATTTGATAGGGGTGGAATATTACGGTCAAATTCCTTCAGCGTCGGAATTCCCTGAAGGTTCGAATAATGGCGGTTGTGCAGATCCGTATCCCTTATCTGGAATGTGGTCTCCCATATACGTATTACGTGGACGGAGGGGAAGAGACCTGCTAGCGAGAGAAAAATGGCTCCCCGCGCGCGCGTGACAACGAGAGACGTACGCGGAATGGTGGCCACCGGATGTTCCGGGGATTATCGCCCGGGATGTTCACTATGCGTTGCCGGTCATGTGATTCTAATCCGTGCGTGGGATGTCGGTGATAGGAAAATATGGCGACGGGGGATCAGATGAAACGGATCGCCGCGAGAGAAACGTACAGCGAAATCTTCTAACCATCTCGATTAATCCGTTCCGTGTGACTTTACGGTAGCCTCGTGGCGAAGAATTTAAAGTTATTTTAACGAATGTAAATGTTAGCGAATCTCTTTTCATTCGAAATTTAAAATTTAGAATTTAGAATCTAGAATTTGGAATTTGAGATTTACGATTTGGACGTTGATATTTGGAATTTGGAATTTGAGATTTGATATCGTAATTGAATTAAATGTCGATGTGAGCTTCAAAGTGAACACCGAGAGCACCTCGGGCCATAAACATGAGATTAGTCAGGGAAGTTTAACTCTTTGCGAACGAAGATTCTTCGAAACATACAAAACTCGATCTCGAAGCTAAATTATATATCAATTGTTTAATGCGTTCACACCGGCGTGTACCACCGGTGGCTCACAGTAAGATAAGGTGGAGTGGAGTAAGTGCACCCCAGTTTTTAGTAAATTTGACTTTCAACCCATATATCTTTAATTTGTTTTATAATACTTTAACATTTATTGAAATCAACGAATACTCGAGTTAATACGCTTTAATTAACATTGACAAAAACGCCAATTTCACTTGTATATTTTAATTTTTTATGAAAATTGTAAAAAATCCAACAACTGTGCACTTTCCCTGAAAATGGGGCACGTGCACAACCGACCATTAAAACCGATTCGAAGTCTTATATCATATGCTACGAGGCAAGAGTATAACTATTGATATGTTCGCTACAAAATACTTTTTACCGCATTCAAATATGTTGTTTCGTTTTGGAGTAAAGCAGATAAATAAAATAAATAAATAAATACAAAGGAATTAGTGAAACGTATTTATTCAACGTAGCTAATTACTATAAGTATATTATTCAGAGATGTAAAACAAGAAATAATCAAGCAGGACATTTTCTGGGGCATGTGCACAGCCATATGCTCTTACCCCACCACAAGGGACGCACTTGCCCCTTGTCTCAATATTTACAAGATAAGAGCACACTACTGTTTTTCCCAATAAATTTCAATAATTCAACGGAAATTATTTATTTGAAGTGAAATATAAACAATATTCTTTATTACTTACCAAAAATAATAACACAGAACATACAATTTCCTTAAAAACCGCAGCACATTTATGATGACGTCAAAATAGACGTGCTGTTTACATGTGGTGCTTTCGAACTGGTTGGCATAAACCGGGGATTCCCCTCATTAATTGGGCGACACCTACGTGGATAGGATGGTATTAACTTTCAGTAGATTACTGCATATTATACATTGCAATTTCTCTCGTATTATATTAATAAGAGCCCGTTTATGCACTTACCCTATTCCACCTTATCACATTGGACAGTGCGTAACATTGATGGCTCGTTAGACGGTGCGTAGCATCAAACATGTGGCTCGTCAAGTGGTTTAGCAATTAGAAAACATTGCCATATAGTTGAGAATTAATTTACTTATTGATCATTTCAATATTTTTATCAATTCCGAGAATTCATCTGCCAAATGGGAAAGAGTGGAAATTACAGCGCCGGTGTGAACGTGTTAACGAATAGAAAACAAGAAAACTGAGCGCTGATCTCTTGCTGTTCGATGAATTGGATCATTTGTCCGCAATTTAGTCTTCCAAATCTGAACATTTCGTCTCGTCGAAATGCCGACACCCGTCCGCAAAGGGTTAAAATCCAGAAAATGCCCGGAGTTTTCCTAGGAACGCTATCTGCGACATGTTTCACGTAACGTTTGAACAATTTCATTAAAATTAATGAACTCGAACGCACTAGTGAATACTACGTATGCAGCCGAATGTGTTCTCCAGATTTTGCAAAATGTACGGAATGCAATTACACTTCTGCACGCGATTAACGTTGGAATATTCGTAAGTGCAGAGAAAGAAGGTTAGACAAAGCATCCAGCTGTTCGCCTCAGGTGTTCGCGTGGGAAGCGTAATATTCCAAGGATTCAGCGCGGCGGGAGATTTTCCGTCCGTCAACTTCTGTTCGCCGTGAGGTCCACGCGAATAATATTCTTCGACTACCGCGTAACGAGCGAAACTCGCTGAATTACGAGCATTCGGCGGAAGATTGCAGCATTGGATTGCGAATCGAGAGGTAACTCGCGATCGCAAACTTCAGCGTTTAAAAAGGCGAGAAATATAACGTTCCCAGCGGTGGACGGAAAATTTTCGAAGAAACATCGTTGCATAACAAGAAGCAACGCTACGTGTCTGTCTCCTAGTGTTTGACACAAACAAAATCTTCCTATTCAAGTCTCCTTCGTTGACGTCACTTCGAGTCATTTCGAATTCACAACAAAACCCACGATCTATGATAATAATAGGATTCTCTTGGCATGCATTGGCGCGCTGATTGCTACCAGAATCTTGAGCGTCCTATGCATCAGTTACTACTTTGCGGCAAACATAAATAGAAACGATTCTGAATTATTCCCAACTACAATCCTTACCCTGCTATCCAATTGTAACGCAATTAAACATGAATCAAAACAAGGAAATAGAACAAGGAAAGTCTGATTTTCATGGAATAAGCAATTTACTTTTGTTATTATTCCAAGTAAATGTATTCATAATTGTTTCGATTTGTCACGAAGGAATAAGCGACACGGAAAACCGTCAGAATTCTCACGATAGTCAACGTGATACCGATTTGACAACGATCCATAAGGACTAGGGTTAACGATGAGTGTTAACCAGTCAAGTAGCTCGATCTTTCACGCGTCGGAGCGTGCAACCTCGCCGTTCGAGCAGAGGATTCCGCAGGGAAAGAGAGCGTGCGGGTCGTCCGCGCTGAATTCACACTTTTTGCGTGCGATTCTCGGAGATCGCGGCTCGAGGAGCTTTTTCCACGCGGAAGACCCTGACCCGGAGAGAGACAGGGAGCACGTGCCCCCCAGGCGGGCGGGTATCTGCCGAATCATCGGGATGGAAGTGTTTGACAGCTCGTTGAACGGCATTCGTTCGTTCTTTCGTTCGTTTCGCGACATGCGAAACTGGTTCGGTTCTTGCGACTACGGCTGCCGTTGAATTATTCATGTCGCTCAGGTGTTTCGAGGGTTCTTCCTTGTTCTCGCGGGCTCGAAAGCCGTCGACCGATCTTCCTCGATCGTTGTCGAGCACCTTGTCGACACGCGCCGCGGTAATAAAACGAGCCACTCGTT